CTGAGGAGCTGGGGCGGCGCCGTGCGGGCCGTGCCCGGTGCCCGGTGCCCGGGCCGAGGGCGGTGCAGGGATCGCCCGGTCCCGCACTCTCGCGCTCGGCCGTGCTTGCGGCGCGCACGGGCTGCCCATAAATGGCCGCTCGGCACGGAATGAGGAACTGGGAGGCTGCACCAGAACCGGGCTGCTCCGCGGCGAGGCTGGGCCCTCCCACCCCGGCCGCCGCGGGCCGGGTGCGCCTCGAGCCCCGGCGGGGGTTTGCCCGGGAGCCGCGGTTCCCGCGCTGCCCCGCCATCATCACTCCACCGGGCGCAGCGGCGTTTTGCCGAGAGCCGTGACCGTCGTTTGTTTGTGGCGAGAAGAGCCCCTGGCCGCGCCGGTTCACTTGAGGGTTCCGGGTCCGCCCTGTTGCTCCGGTTGTCCAAGCGTTTTTCCAGTGTGAAGGAGCTTATTCCATGGCTGCAGAGTGGGGACAGTTTCACTGCTGTGGGTTCGGCTTCTGGCACACAGGGGTGGGTCACACTCCCAGCTCCAGGTACCCACGGTGCTGGTTTGCATCCCTGGTGCAGCACTGCCAGTGACCTTTATGCTTCTGGAGCTGTTGGTGAGCCCTCAGCCTGGCTCTGCACAGTTCACCCCTGTAGGTGAACAACAGGTCAGGGCTATGTCAGAGCAAAAAGAAAAAAAATCCTCCATCCTCAGACTGCCGAGTCCCCGCTGGGCAGCAGTGTGTCCTGCTGTTCCCAAGTCCTTCCCGCCTGGGGCAGTGAGACAGCCGGGGGGGATCGGGTGGGGTGAGAATTCCCTGGATGCTCGTACAGAGCAGCTGGTGCAGCAGTGGTACCTGGAGATGCCCTGACAGCGCCCAGCCTCAGGAGGTGCCAGCTGGGCTCCTGTGTCCCCAGTCCCTGTGCTGCCCTGGAACCCTCTGAGCTGCCCGTGTGGAGCAGCCAGGCTGTTCTGGCTCCCCGTCCTGGCAGAGCAGCTGGGACAGGGCCCTGGAGAAGCGCTTACTGCTGGGTCACATTCCAGCGAGCTGTCCGGGTGGCGGCGCGGGAAGAAGGAAGGGTGGGGACTGCTGGAACGGGCCCTGCTGCGTCCGCGGCTGCGCCCAGGCCTGATGGCTGTCGGAAGCCGATTAGCTCATCTGAAGATACTCTGACTAATGCTGGCCTCGCTGCTGCCGTGGGTCGGGATTCCAGGAGTCACTGGTTCCCGCTGTCTGCTCAGACACCAGCAGGGATATTCCCGCTGCTGCTGCTGCTGGCAGGAGGTGGGGCTCTGGCGCTGGCTGCTGCAGCTGCTCTGTCCTGCACTAAACACGCTGAGAATCCGGAAGAATCTGCTGGGTTGAGGGAGCAGTGAAGGCAGAGTGCAAATTCCCAGGTCGGAATTTGGCCTCCTGCTGCCTTCTACAGGCTGCTGTGATCCTGAGGACCTTCTGTGAGCTGGGGTCTGTTTCTGAAGGTCCAGGAGCCCTTCTGTACCCTGCTTCCAGCACAGGCTGGGGTCCCTTCCTGCAGCCCTGGCAGTTCCTGGGGGGCTGTGCTGTTCTGTGGGGCAGGGGGATCCCCAGGCCCTGTGGGTAAGCTGATAGGAAAAGTGAGGGCTGTTTCCCCAGAGCCAAGCCCTGGCCTGCAGTGCTGACTGGAATCATGCTGCTTTTGGTCCCCTGCGGTGTTTTCAGTCCTGGTGGGCTCCTGTCACCTTAGAAATCCTGAGAAGATTGGGGTGGGTTGTGATTAATCTGTGTGCTGGGTATGAATGATTCTTTAGCTGTGGATCACAGAAGTAAGGCTGGAACACAGGAACATGAGCCAAGAGCTGGGGATTTGGGGTTTTGGTGGGTTTGGGCTTTCTTTTTTGCCCCCTGTGTCATGATGGTTGCTAAGTACCTGTTTGTGGGAGGGGCTCCTCGTGGGTCTGGTGGAGATGGGGCTAGTGATGTGTGGGAGAGAACTGTCACCATTGTGTTACACGGGGGTCAGCTGTCGAGGAGTGGCAGCTCTGTGCTGACACCAAACCAGTGCATTTCCAAACTGCCCAGGAGAGGATTCTGGCTCCTGGAGGTGACCAGCTGCTGGCAGTCAGGGCTGTGAACACCAAGGCTGTTCCCAGTCAGTGCAGCTGTCTCCCAGCCATGGGAGCTGCACTGGGACTGGTGCTGTTGTTCACAGAGCACTGGCTCCAAGAGCTTCAGGTGCTGGAGCAGAGGCTCCATGGCTCCTGCTGTCCCTGATCTGGCTGTCTGTGAGAGATTTTGTCTCTGCTTGGTCTGAAAACTGGAAGGTGGAGGGTGCCCATGGATGCTCCTGCACAGAAGTGTACCTACCACTGTTGGAGATAGGTGTGTGGATGCTAGTGGATCCTCTGCCATCAGTGTGCTCTCACAGAAGGCTTAGTCACAGAATTTGGGAGTCACCACAAGTTTGGGACTTCAATTCTGTAGAGCTGAAATTCTGTCTCTTTCCTGGAAGCTGCAGGTATCCTCAGAGCAAGGTGTGAGTGTTAGAACAAGCTGTGGACCATGGGAGGTGTAATCTAGCCCAGAGGTGAGCCAAAGGACATGAGGAGGGGATTGGGCAGGATGCAGGGAGGAGATGGAGCAGTGCAGGGTGTGTAAGTGAGCGTTTGCTCAGCACTTCTGGGAGTTCTCAAGCCTGGCAGCTGTTTGGGAGAAGCAAGGGCCTGGGTTTGATATGGAGACACTGGCATGAAATCTCATCAGTTGTTCATCTGTGACATGAGACTAAATGCCCTTTTGAAGACAAATTTCCACACCATTCAGTGTGAGGATGTTGGAGGATGCCATGTGGAAGGGACAGCTGTTTGCTGTGCAGCTGCAGCAGGAAAAGCTCCTGGCACAGATGCTTGTGCCACGCAAGGCCAGAGCCCTGGTACAGCCCCATGGTGCCATATCATGCCCCAGTGCCTTTCTAAGGCTGTGCCAGAGAGTTCTGAGTCTTTAGAGAGTCCATGGTAGTATTTGCCATAGGATAACCCTTCAGACAACGTGCCCTGTGGAACACCAGAATTCCTGAATGTGTCATTGGCTTTTACGAGGATTTTAATGGAGTGTTGGCATGACCTTTGCCTAGCCCTTGGTGTGGCTGGGCATTTCCTGGGCAGAGTCCTGGGCAGCTGAGCCAGGTTCCACATCTTGTTTATTTGATTGTCTGTTTCCCTGGTTGTGTGTGCCACAGATCCTTGCAAAGCCAGGTGTCTCATCCCACTCTGCCAAGGCATCTGGCACAGAGCACTGGCATGACAGTTACAAAACGTGAGCACCAGGTCCCAGCAGAGGCTCCTGGTATTCATGCCAGTGGTGAGACAGAGGCCTGTTCTTAGCTGGAATCCTGTTGTGGAGAGCAGAACTTGGTTTATTCTGGGCTCTGGTTTATTCCAATTGAAAGCCTCACCTGGTTGATCTTGTGGAGGAGAATGTCCTCCCTATGGCTTTGGGGTATTTACATTACAAGGAAAGCACTGAGGTTGAATTTTTTCTCACTCTTGCCTGGGCCTCTGCAGGCTGAAGATGAGACCTGACCTCTGGAGGGTTCTGCAGGGCCTGGGAGCCTTGGCAGGGCTGTGTCTCCCAGGGGCCAGCATGAAGGGCCCCAGAGAGAGTGGGAGCCTGCAGAGTGACAGCAGAGCAGTTCTGGGGAGCCCTGCTGCTGGAGTGGTTGGTCGGGGCAGTCACACCTCTCCTCTCTCCTTCAGTGTGGTCACGTGTGTGAGGATGGCAGAGCAGGAGCCAACGGCAGAGCAGCTGGCCCAGATTGCAGCTGAGAATGAGGAGGATGAGCACTCTGTCAACTATAAGCCACCTGCCCAGAAGAGCATCCAGGAGATCCAGGAGCTGGACAAGGACGATGAGAGCCTGCGCAAGTACAAGGAGGCCCTGCTGGGCGCCGTCACCGTGAATGCAGGTGAGCTCTGGGGTGTGTTGGTCCCTTCTGGCCTTGCCTCTGCTCCCAGCTGAGAGCTGTTCTCCCAGCTCTGTTTGGGCAGGACCACAGAGCTGTGCCTGTGCTCCCTGTGCCCATTGCTGGCTCCGGGATTCAAGGGCAGGGGTGGCACTCTGCCTTTGTGGAGTACTGTGGGCAGGGCCCACAGGGTGCATTGGAAGCCCTGACCCTTACAGATTTGGAGCCTGGTTTTGCTGGTTTTTGTGCTCTCTCAGGAAGTTCTCTGGAAGGAAAAGGAGCTGTGCTGGCCAGTGTCGAGGATGAGTGTTAAACAGCTTTATCTCTTGTCTCTAGATCCCAATGCTCCAAATGTGGTGGTGACCAAACTGACCTTGGTCTGTGCTACTGCTCCAGGGCCCCTGGAGCTGGACCTGACAGGTGAGCTGGGAGGGAATGCCAGCCCTGCTCCTGGGCACAGCTGGCAGGAGCACTGCTGGAAAGGTGGCTGAGCCTTCCTGTGTCAGGAGCGCTGACAGCAGAGTACAGTGCTTGGGCCCCAGCAGGTTCTGTACCTGGAGCCCAGCAGCAGTTCTGTGACACCTGGGTGTTTTGTAGAGGTGTGAGGGGCCAGATGGGGCAGGCAGATTCTTCCAGCCTGCATGGTGACATTCATGGCAGCTTCGAAATGGTGACAGCTTTGGAGCAAACATCTGCAAACAAACAGTTTGGAATTGATTGCAGGGTTGTGCTGCAGTGTCTTGCTTGCCTGGCTCTGGCAGCAGAGAGGGCCCTGCAGCTCCTGCCCCAGCTGCTCGTGCCAGGGAAATTCACCCCAGAGCACAGCACAGCACAAAGGAGCTCTGAGCAACCCTCTCCTGTCTCTGTAGGTGATCTAGAAAGCTACAAGAAGCAAGCATTTGTGCTGAAGGAGGGCGTGGAATACCGGATAAAAATCTCCTTTAGGGTAAGGAATCAGAGAACGGAAGGAACGGAACACCGGTGCTGGCCTGGGGATCACCCATGCCCTGCAAGTGAGGTTGTGGTGAAGGAATGGGCTCTTCCTGCATGCGTGGGCAGCATGAGTGGAGACCTCCTGCTCAGTCCCTGCTCCTCTCTCTGCAGGTAAACAGGGAGATTGTGTCAGGATTGAAGTACATCCAGCACACATTCCGGAAAGGTGTGAAAAGTAAGTGCTTCTCTTTGACTTGGTGCTGCTCTGTGTGAGTAAGGGCTTCCTGCTCGTCTTGCTGCTGTAACAGGGGCTGCCCCACAGCTCCTCACGGGAGGGGACAGTCCTCAGTGCCACGGGGCCGTGGAGCTCTGCAGAGCTCCTGGGCCTGCAGTGGTGGGGCAGCCCATGGTTCTGGCTGCACAGCATATGATGTGATTCCCCCAGAGCACATTCCCCCCTGAATTTGGCAGGAAGCAGGTCACAGCTGACAGCACTGCCAGTGCTTACAGGTCACTCCCCACAGGAGGGGCCCATTCCTGGGGGGAAGAGAGCTCTGAGCTGGGTGAGATTCCTATTGTTACAGCTGCTCTGGGGATTGTTGTAACAGTAACAGACCTTTCTTTTGCTTCAGCCTTGCCCCAGATGCACGGGAGGCTCCTGAACCTCTTGGTGCCTCTATGGAGCCTCCATATGCCTCTTTCTGTCTTTTTAGTTGACAAGACTGAATACATGGTTGGGAGCTATGGCCCCCGAGCAGAGGAGTACGAGTTTCTGACCCCCATGGAAGAGGCCCCAAAGGGCATGCTCGCCCGGGGCAGCTACAACATCAAATCCAAGTTCACAGATGATGATAAGACTGACCACCTGTCCTGGGAGTGGAACCTGACCATCAAGAAGGATTGGAAGGACTAGCCCTTCCTGAGGCCAAACCCCAGAGAGCGTGAATCAGACAGTGGCTACCGTAGAATTCCCCCCCTGTACCAAAGTGCTGACATTGGAACCCTCTTACCTGTCACCCCCATTATCATTTGACCAGAGAGCTCAGTTTTTTATGTGCCCCCTCCCCAGAGAATTGCTGAGTGCATTGACCAAACCATGCTGTCTGCATCTGGTCTCCAGCTGCCCGTCCTGGGGCTGTGCTGCCCCAGCACTGAGGGGAGTGCCCACTCCCTTGCCAGGCCCTTTCTTGCTTCCCACCTTCCTTTATCCAGGAGGTGCCAAAGGGGAGGAACCCCTGTTAGGATCCTGTGCTTGGCTTTCCTGCACACAGCTCAGGGTAGCTACTGCCTCCAAGTAGCTGAAGAATTTTGGTGCCAGGCAGCTGTCAAATCAGTTTATTGGCTCAAGTGTTGTCTGCCTGCCCTTTCCGCCCTGTCAGTGTCCTGGGCAGCTTCATTTGTGGATGTTCCCTGTAACCATGATGCCTTAAATGTGTAACATGTATCCTCTAGGGAGGGGGTCCTGCCTCTGTTACACTTTTTAAACGCCACCTGCCCTCCCCGTCTGTTGGCATGGGCTCAGCTTCCTCACGCCCCTCATGTGTTATTAGGAAAGATTCACAACTTCCCACTTCACTGCTGGTCCGTTCCTCACCCGAGACAGGACATCTCCAGAGGGGAGAGGGTGTGACATCCTGGGTGACGCCTGGCCGCCCTTCCTGGCACCCCGAGCACTGGCCTGGCTGGCCCAGCCTTGCCCCGCGCTCTCGGGTGCCCCGCGGCGCAGAGGGGCTGGAGGCCAGGGCGGTGCAGGGGTCACCAGTGCTGCCGTCGCCTCGCACTTCTCACTGCAGCCCAGGTAGCTGCAAAGCACTGAAATTCCAGGAGAGCCCTGCCCTCCTGGCTGTGTTGGGCTGAGGACGGACGAGTCTGTCTCTGCAGCTGCTCCTGATGCGATCAACAAAGAGCTTGCAACGGACAAGTGTTCTGAAGCGGTTAATGCCTTATGTATCTGTTCTGCCTTTAAAATCTGTGCCTGGCCTGTAGTTATTGCCTTGACACTCGGCCCCCATGCCTGCCGCTGACCCGCAGCGTGCCGGCCTCCACCCTTGGCTGCACAGCTGCAGCTCTTGGGGCAGAGAAGCCCCAGGGGCCCCTGCAAGGCCCTGGGGCTGGGCAGGCATGTGCCACCTCTGCAGCCCTCGGTTTGGATCTACCACATTGAGGTTAGAACTGGGACCAAGTACATGTGGCTTCTCATAGCTACGTCTTTGCCTCTAACTGCCCTCGCCCTGCCCCTAGAGAATTTTTTTGGTTAATTTGATTTGGTGTGTATTGTCTGTAAGTCCTAGACCCAGGTTAACAGGTTTGGAATCATCGTCTGCTTCTCCTTTTATGACAGTTAAATAAAATCTTTGAACTGACCGTGTACTGTCCATGCTGTATCTTCAGCATGAAGTGGCTGAATGGGATTTCTGCAGACACTTAGGGTGGGAGAAGACCAGGATCTCTGGGTTTGCTAGAATGTAAAACAGGATCTGGGGCAGGAGAGGCCTCATGGCAATATGTGTGCGGGATCTGTCCCTTGCTGTTTGCCCTGTTCTGCACTGCCCACAGTGAGGGGTGGAGTGTGTGAGGCTGTGAAAACAGGGATTTCCAAGGGGGGCCTCTTGCCAGCAGAGGAGCAGGCAGCTCTGAACCCACAACACGACTGCTCCAGCTGCACACACAAAGGGAAATTCCTGTGCAGTCACAGGAATGAGGGAGGCGATGAGAAAACGCAGTCCAGGAGAGGCAGCACGATAAGAGCCTGCGGATGTTTACAGAGCATGTGGCATGTTTGTGTTAAGGATAAAGGAAAGTGTAGCTATGAAAAGCTCTTTATAGAATCCATGGTGTGAGAGAACCTGGAGGAGGGGACTCGGCTCTGCTCCTGGTCAGACTTGTGAAGGTAACAGGACTCCATCTTGTATTTGGAGCTCACAGCACAGGCCCCTTCCTCGGGCCTTGGGAAACTGCTAAAGGAGATGATGGGACTTGGAAAGGACAAGGACTGAAGGCAAGAGTCGGCTGGGTAGGAGCTGGCTTGTGGCCAGTGCCCACTCCAGCAGGCACCTCACTTGTTCTGTTTGCCACAGAGAACAGCACCCAGCTATGCCCCCCCAGCCCTCTGCACAGTGAGGGGCCATGGAGAGCAGCGTGGGGACTGGAGCAGGGAACAGACCTCACCCTCCGAGTGTCAGTTAGATAGAGCCCAGATGTGCCTGATACTGTGAACAAAGGCCCCCTGTGCTGGCCCCCAACAGCCACTCTGTGGGTAGGGTCAGATGAGCACCCAGCTGATGCAACCCCAGCTTTGGCAAGAGTTTCCACACCCAGGGTGTCAAGGCTTCTGTTAGATCGTTTTACCATGGTAGGAGGGCTGGAGGGGCAGGACAGCTGTGCTGTGCTCCAGCTTTGAGGATTCGGCCTCTGTTCTCTGGCAGGGTGACAGCTGGGCTCTTGTGCCTGGAGCATGCCATGAGTGCACTTGGGGATGGGTGGCTCCAGTCACAGGCTGGGTGGGACAGACCATTTGCATTAATTGTGGTTCCCGAAGTAAAGCCTTAGTCCCTTTCAGGTGATGCACCTTAAGAACCCGGGCCAGAAGTTGTGCAGGAGCAGCACAGGCTGTGCCCATTTCCAAGGCTGCAGCAGCTCCCTCTGACACGGCAGCTCTGTGGGTGCAGCACCTGAGCTGAGTAGCAGTGCTCCTGCAGAGCTGCCTCGGGGCAAGGTGTGCCCTTTCAGCAGAGGCATCCTGCAGGGCTCTCTGGCAGAGCAAGGAGCCGGGGCAAAGGCTTCCAGCCCTGGAGCCCGACAGGCAGCCGCTGATTCCCTCCCTACCAGCCCAAGGTGCCTGCCCGGCCTGGGTGCCCGCTGTGCCCTCACCGTGTGCTCAGCTTTGCCGTCCACAACCTCGCTGGGCTCTCCCCGGGCCTGACAAGAGCGTCTGGTTTAGCACCGGCCGCCGCTCCTGAATGGGCAACAGCCCCTGGCAGCACCCGGATTTCCCACGGGAGCGGGCGAGCTCCTTGCTCCGGGCGCGGCCCCTTGCCCAGAGCAAAGAGCAGCAGCTCTGAGCAGCCCCGGGCTGGCGATCCCGGGGCCGGCCGGCAGCCCGCGGCCTGCCCCGCTCCGCCGCGGCGCCGGCGTGCGCAGGAGCCGCCCGGGGCCCGCTCCCGCCCAGCGCAGGCCAGCAGCAGCCGGGACCCCGCCAGTGCCGGGGCAGCGCAGGCAGAGCCCAGTGACCGGATTGTGCCCTGCCACGGTCACCGGGCTCCTCCGTGCCGGCTGCCCCGGCAGGCTCCGCACAGGGCCGCGCTCGGCCTGCGGCACAAGGAGCCCGCCTTGAGGGCGCGCGTGCCGCAGGGACGCCAGCGCCGCCGCTCCCCGGCCCATCGCCGTGACTGGCGCGCTGGCAGCAAAGGAAACGGGGCCGGTGCCCGGCCCGCTGGGAGCTTAGCGCCGGGGGACAGGCAGGGTCGGGGCGGGCAGCCGTGACCCCGAGGGGAAGGCAGTGTCTAGGGGGCGAGCGAGCGGGCCGGGCCGGGCCGGGCCGAACGGAACCGAACCGGGGCGGGCCGGGCCTCGCGCGCCGGGCTGGTCACGTGGGGCGCGCGGCCCAGTCAGGATCCACCACGCGCTCGTGGCCGCGCGCACGCGCAGTGCCACCCGGCGGCGCTTCCCGAGTGCCACGTTCGAGGGCAGGGGCCACGCGAGGCGGTGGAGCCGACCAATCGCGAGCGGCATCTCGGGGCAAGGGGCCAATGGAGACCCGCGGGCGGGGAGCGGGGCCGGCGGCCAACCCGAGGCGGCGGGAGAGGGGCGTGCCCGGACCGCCAGCCAATGGGCGGCGCGCGGCGGCCGGGGAAGCGGCGCCGGGCAATGGCAGGCGGGCCGCGCAACCAATAGCGCGCGGCGGCGGCCGGCGGGGGCGGGTTTATAAGGGGGAGGCGGCGCCGCGGCCGCGCGTTCCGGCCAGCCCGTCCCGAAGGCCGCCATCAGCCATGGCGGCGGTGCGCGCTCTGCTCCCGCTGCTCTGCATCGCCCTGCTGCTCGCCGCCCGCGCCGCCGCCCAGGAGGAGGAGGATGGCGTCCTGGTGCTGCGCGCCGCCTCCTTCGAGCAGGCGCTGGCCCAGCACCGATACCTGCTCGTCGAGTTCTGTGAGCGCGGCGGGGCCGGGCCGGGCCGGGGGGAGCGGGCGGGGGCCGGGGCGCGGCCGCGGGACGGGAGGGTCGGGCGGGGGAGAGGTGCTGAGGGACGGGCTCCCCCGGGAGGGTGCGGGCCTGGGGCGGGCGGCTGCGCGGCTCCGGCCCGGCCCGCCCCACCCCGGGGCTCCGTGAGTCCCGGCGGGCCCCGGTCCGCCCGGGAGTGCAGTCGGGGAGCCCCGGCCGCCGCTGACGCCCCGTCCCGCAGACGCCCCGTGGTGCGGGCACTGCAAAGCGCTGGCGCCCGAGTACGCGAAGGCGGCGGCGAAGCTGAAGGCGGAGGGCTCGGAAATCCGGCTGGCCAAGGTGGACGCCACGGAGGAGTCGGAGCTGGCGCAGCAGTTCGGCGTGCGCGGGTATCCCACCATCAAGTTCTTCAAGAACGGCGACAAAGCTGCGCCCAAGGAGTACACGGGTGAGGAGGGGCACGACCAGGGGAACCGGGCTGCGCCGCCAGGGTGCAGAGGGCAGCGACGTGGCGCCGGGTACCAGCACATGGCCCCGTGCTGGGGCTGTGCTGCTGTGCCTGGACAAGGTCCACTGTGACAGCGACCTGGGAATGGTGCTGGGCCGATGGGGAGCAGGCCAGCTGTTAATGGCCTCCCTTTGGAGAGATCCCTGAGGGCACCGAGAGTGGAGGAAGTTGCTTTTGGCAAAGTAACCTGAGCTTGGTTTTTTGCGTGGCTTAACTTGGGTCAAGATGTGCTGTACCCAGAGCTGGAAACACACCTGGGCCAGTGGGTGAGGAGGAGGCAAACGCGGGGTGTGAGAGAGCTGCAAGGAAGGCCAAGACAGAATTCAGCCGAGCCAGGCCCCACAGTGCTGGTAACAGAGGGTTACATGCAGAATAGAGACCTTGGAAGGAAAAGGTGCTGTAATAGCACTAGTACTGAGGTCATGGAAAAGTGCTACATGGCTGGTCAAAGTTTAAGGACAGGGGCAGGAGGTGAGAGAGGAATGGATTCCTGGGAGTCCCTTGTACCTTGACTTATCAATTAGGGATAAGCTTAATTACACTGTGAGTGAAAGGGAAAGAGTTGCGCAAATGAGATCTTGAGTCTTGCTGATCTCTTGACCAGCTGCTGAAAGGTCTTCTCTCTCACAGCTTGAGGGTTTTGTGGTCCTGGCCTTAGCTTGGGGGGAAAGTGACTCCTTGTTCTTGTGCAGCTGGCAGGGAGGCAGACGACATCGTCAGCTGGCTGAAGAAGCGCACGGGCCCAGCTGCTGCCACCCTGGCTGATGTGGCTGCTGCCGAGGCACTGGTGGACTCCAGTGAAGTGGTGGTGATTGGTTTCTTCAAGGTAGAGTTTGTGTTTCCCCTGGAGATGCTCTTGTGTGCGTCCAGGGCCTTCCCTGCTCCCTCCTGGCTGGGGAAGGTTGTGTGCCTTATGCAATACTTGCTGTCTTGCCTTCCTTGATCTTCCAGTTCTTCGGGCTGAGCCCTGGGATGTGAATGCTTCAGGTGGTGTGGCTCCTCTGAGACACCTTTCTTTACTCCCCAGGATTCAACATCAGAGGCAGCAAAGGAGTTCCTGCTGGCAGCAGAAGCTGTGGATGATATTCCTTTTGGGATTTCCTCCAGTGCTGATGTCTTCACCAAGTACCAGATTAGTAAGGATGGTGTCATCCTCTTCAAGAAGGTAGGTACTGGCTGGTGCCAAGCCTGGGCACCACACTGGTGTCTGCTGTCTCTTTCCTTTTCCTTAATTAGTCAAACTCCAACAAGATCAGTCCTGGACAAAGCAGCAAAGGCCCTGTGCTGCTGGTGTAGCTGTTCTTGGGCCTCAGAGCCTGTGGCCCCTTTGTGGGGTAGGGGAGCCTTGGGGGCCCGCAGTGTGCAGCTGTGCCAGTCCCCCAGCCCTGTGCTCTTCCCCCAGAGCTGCTGGGCTTTGGGTGCAGCTCGTTTCTTCACTCGCTGCCCTTTTGCTCAGCTCTCTGCAGTGCAGCAGTGGTCACAGTCTCAGACAGGCCCAAGAGAACAGCAACAGCGGATGAGCTCTCTGGCTGCCATGCTGCTGTCTGAGTGTGTCTTAGCACAGTTGCTTTTCATTGCCCACTGCTGACCTCTGCTGCTATTGCTCCCTGCTGTGTCCAAGAGCTGCTCTGTGTCCCTGGTATGGGTTCTGCAGTGCAGGGATTCCAAAGAAGCTCCTAAGAGGATTTGCAGTTCTAGCTGACTAGGCTGGGGCAGTGGATTATGTGCAGAGGGATGCTGACTACCTACAGAATCACAAATGCACTTATGGAGGCATGGAAATCCCTGTCACTGGGATGAATTTCCAGAGCCGACAGGAAGAGGTTCTTCCGGCTTGGTGGCTCCTCACCCAGAGGTGCTGTGGGGCAGGACAGAGTGCTTTGGGTTCAGATCTACTACACCTGTAACGTCATCAGTCATGACTTTGCCCAGCCTGACCTAATACAAGACTTTCTTTTTGTTCACCTGAAATAATTGTTTTATTATACTATACCCCTGACACTGTAGGGGTTTTTTTATGGTGATAGAAGCTTGTAGATTTAAATTCTGAGTCAGAGTCCCTCAGGTCAATGTGGCTGAGGAAAGATCTGGCTAATTAACTCAAAATGCATTAGCAGAATGGGGGGAGAAGGGAGGGAGGAGCGTTTTGTTCTTGTCTCATTTGGTAGTTTTGAGCTATTGCATGAGTAGCTTTGTGTCCCTGCTCTGAGTAGTGCTGGGCTGGGCAGAGTTCTGGGCCTGGCAGCCTTTTGTGTGTGTTGGGAACAGCAGTGACCATGCTGTGCCAGGCTGGGGCGGGGTAGGAGTGCTCAGCTCCATGGAAGGAGCAGCCTAGATCTGTCCAGCCATTGGGTTCCTCTCTGTTCCTGTGCAATGGCATGGCAGTGAAATGAGAGCTCCTGGATAAATCTACTTTAAAACAGGGAGGAAAGCACCCACAGTAATCAAACGCCAGGGCAGGAGAACTTGATGGCCTGTTTTGGTTTTGGGCTTTGGCTCAATACCTTTAGTTGAGTCTGAACTGAGAGGGTTTGGCTCATTGTTCTTCTCTTATTCTGTGAGAGCTGTCCAGACTTGCACAGGCCCTCACACAGCTGTGCTGATGGCGCTGAGGCAATCTGCACAACTCCTCAGAGTGTTTGCGGAGTTATTTTCTGATGCTAAGTGTTTTCCTCAGCTTTTCCACTGAGGCTGGTGTGCCTCCCCTCAACAGGAGGTTATCTGAGTCCACACTCTTCCCTCTGTCAACAACTTGAGTATGGCCTTGCCAGGGCACTGCTGTGCCCTTCTGCACGTCCTCTGTCTAACCTTGCTGGGCCCTCTGCAGCTGTTCCTCTTCAGGCTGCCAGAGGGTTCTGGGAATCCTGCTCAGGGATGATACCAGTCATGGCCTGTAGAGCAGGACCTGGCACCTCCACTGTGATGTGCAGCATGTGCTGTTGTCCCTAACAGGGGCTAGAATTAATTCCCCAGAGCTGAGGAAATCACTGTTTGCTGCAGGCTTCACTGTCAGATGTTCCCAGCACTGTCTGGCTGCAGCGCCTGCTCTGACCATTGCTGCAGGGCTGGAGGCAGCTGCTCGGGGTTCTTCTTGCACCATTAGTGCTCTCACAGTGGTGCAGAACAAGGCTGAGATCAAGCCTGGCTGTTGTTGCTGCTTACCTTCTGGTGGGGAGTGATTTAAAGCTTTGCTTGCAAGGAAGATGGACACCTTGGTCCAGATTTTCAGTGGATGTTTGCTAACCTTGTTGAGATGGAAGTTTGCTCAGAAGGAGTGCAGCTGAGATCCCTTGGGGCAGTGACCAGTGCAGAGGCATTGAGAGATTTGTGTGGGATGCACAAGTGTTCTAATGAAAAGTGTCTGTTCTTGCAGTTTGATGAAGGCCAGAACAACTTTGAAGGGGATCTCACAAAAGATAATCTGCTGAACTTCATCAAGTCTAATTCATTGCCTCTGGTCATAGAGTTCACTGAGCAGGTGGGTCTTTAGATACCTGACAGGGCCCTTCCCATCTCTGCTGCAAGACCATAGCAATGGTCCATTTGTAGACTGCATGGTCGTGTTTTATTGGGAGCTGACGCTGGGGGTATGGAGGAGTGGGAAGGACACAATACATGAGGTCTGAGCTTGCTGTGCAGAGCATCCTGCAGTACTGGAGGCTGCTGTGGGCTGCTCAGGATAGTGGGGTTAAACTGGTCTGGATACTGATTTGCCTCTTTTTCCAAAAATAAAGTTTATTTTTTACTCCTCAGACTGCTCCTAAAATATTTGGAGGAGAGATCAAGACTCATATTCTGCTTTTCCTACCAAAAAGTGTGTCTGACTATCAAGGGAAGCTGGACAACTTCAAGAGTGCAGCTGGGAACTTCAAAGGGAAGGTGAGATGGATTTCTTGGATCATGAGCTGGGAGACCGCCCACCTCCTGCAGAGAAGTGTAGCACTGTCTTTATCCATGGAGCAGCTGTGGAGGAGGACTAAGCCAGCCCTCTCCTCTGGGACAGGGGAGGAAAAGAGCCAGTTCAGCTACACTTGGTGGGAGTGTGCATGTGTAGTGTCAGCAGCTACAAGGTACTCATGCTCACTCACCTCCTGCCTTTCACTTCTTTCCTCCCAAGATCCTGTTCATCTTCATAGACAGTGACCACAGTGACAACCAGAGGATTTTGGAGTTCTTTGGCCTGAAGAAGGAAGAGTGCCCAGCTGTACGTCTGATCACTCTGGAGGAAGAAATGACCAAATACAAACCTGAATCCAATGAGCTCACAGCAGACAAGATCAAAGAGTTCTGTAACAAATTCCTGGCAGGCCAGATCAAGGTATGTGGACAAACAGTACTGGTGGTGAGCGAGGTAGCTGAGAGGGAACAGAAATGCTCCCTGTGAGGGGCTGGAGAAGTCCCTCCATCTTCTGCATGGATCATCCCATGGGCTTCGTGATTAGGAATGAAGGGCAAAGCTGGTGGGGTGTGGAGGCTGCAGGAGGGTGAGCCAGGAAGAGGGACTTGGGCATGGCCAAGCAGTTGTGCTCTCCCCATGGGGACTGTCCTGTTTATCCAGTTGCTCTTTCTGCCAGCAGTCTGTGGAAGGTGTGAATTCTGTGGCACGGGGAAAAGAGTTGTCAGCTCCCATATGCTGGAGGGGCTGTGTGTGGATCAGCCAGCAGTGAGGGTGCAGCAAAGCACGGCCCTCTGGGAATGGGGCTGTCAGCAGTGCTGGGGGCTTTCCTGCTGCAGAGCTCTGCTGTCATTCTCTGCTCAACAGCACCTGCTACTCCCGCTGGATCAGGGTGGGAACAAGATTCTGTGGGAGAAGAGGAAGTGACCAATTCATCTGGTTGCTTACAGCCTGTGACTGAGGCACCAGTGGGGTGGTGAAACCTGGCTTTTCCAGGATGTGATTGCATGATTGGTCCAAGTAGCTATGTAGCAGTTTGTCTGAATTTCACTTTTTATTCCAGCCCCACCTAATGAGTCAAGATCTTCCTGAAGACTGGGACAAGCAGCCTGTCAAAGTTCTGGTTGGGAAGAACTTCGAAGAAGTTGCTTTTGATGAAAATAAGAATGTTTTTGTGGAGTTCTGTGAGTATATTTCTACAGCTGATTGCAAGTAACTGGTGTGAAAGGATTGCCAAAACACTCTGTGACCAGGATTAGGGAAAAAGCCTTTTGCAGCCTGGGCCCCAAAAGCGGTGCCTTGGTTGCAAAGATGTGTGAGAACTGTCTGGCTGGGGAGGAGTGGTGCCTCGTTAGATTGTTGGTGCAGCTATGTCTCTGTAATTAACAGATGCCCCGTGGTGTGGTCACTGCAAGCAGCTGGCCCCAATCTGGGACAAGCTGGGAGAAACCTACAGGGACCATGAGAACATTGTCATTGCCAAGATGGACTCGACGGCTAATGAAGTGGAGGCAGTGAAAATCCACAGCTTCCCCACACTCAAGTTCTTCCCTGCAGGCTCTGGCAGAAATGTAAGCAGGCAGCCAGGCTGGCAGCTGCTAGCCAGGGAGCACAGCACGCTTGCTGCTCGCTCCAGGCGTTCTGGACAGGAGCTGTGGGAGGGATCTGCATTCTGTGGGGATGGAACACAGCAAGTCTACAGGACACCCAAGACCCTTTGTGGGGTCTGGGCTGTAGGGAAAGAGTTTGGGGGGAAGTGGGAATGGGGAAAAGAGGGAGCATAGAGGACAGTGTGCTCATCTGCAGGCTATTCTTTCTCGCAGTGATCTCTGAAGTCTAGTGGCTGAGCTGTTTTCCTTCGTCTCATATGGGTGAAGGTGAATTTTTAAATTCCCTTTTGCTTGGCATGTTCACTGTTGCTCAGAAAGAGAATTCTCCTCTCCAGGGGTGTGGGTCTGTAGTGCCCATAACCAGCATCCTTGTTTTTCCTGTGTAGGTAATTGACTATAATGGGGAGAGGACACTAGAAGGCTTCAAAAAATTCCTGGAGAGCGGAGGTCAGGATGGGGCAGCAGCTGATGACGTGAGTAATGTGAATGGAGTACTCTGGACCTTTGGGAGCAGGGAGCATGGTTCTGTGCTTGAATCCTCAGTCCTAAATAAGATCCTGTGTTGTTACATGTCAGGAGAACATACTGCTGGTGAGCAAAGTGCCCACATCCGTGTGATCTGTTCAGGTGGTCAGGTGTGATCTTTGGGCCTGCAGTGGGCTCCTTTCCTGGAGATCACTCTGTGGGTGTCAGGTAGCACTGCTGGGGCACTCAGCACCTGGAGCTGGGCTGTGTGATCAGTGCCATGTACCTGTGTGTCTGCTTGGAAGCTCTCACCTGCTGGGAGGCTGTGTGGAGGCCAGTACAGGTGCCAGCTTCCAAGGGTTCCTAATCCTTAATGTCCTGAATGTGAAGCCCTTGGTAGAAGCCTCTGGATGTTTTGTTAGCAGGACAGCAGAGAGCAGTGGCCAGATGAGGGGTGCTGCTCAGTGCTTGGTTCTGGGTCTGCCTCGTGTGCCAGAAACCAGGAGTTGTCTGTAACCTCCACAGGATCTCGAGGACCTGGAGACGGATGAAGAAACTGAACTTGAGGAAGGTGATGAGGATGAGCAGAAACTCCAAAAGGATGAATTGTAAAGAGAAGACTGATCTACATCACCCAAAAAATCAGACACTAAATTGGCTGCTGTGATGCAGCCCAGTGAGTCAGAAACCCATTAAGATTTAAAGCAGAAGGTAAATGACTGGAAATCCAGGGATTGGCTTCTAAAGTAACACTTTACCCTCACTTGTCTGTACACTTACCTTTTCTTTCTTTTGGCTTTTGAAAAGGGAACTGTCACTAGGGAGCCAGCCCAGCCAGCTGGGCTCTTTTTTGTATTGTGATGTACTTTTTTGTACACAGCTTTTGTCTGGAGAACTCTGTTCTTCTGGGCAGCAGGAGGTTGTGAGGTGGTACCAGGAGTTCAGTACCCTGACAATCTGGAGCCTTGCCACTAACATCTTCCAGACAGCTTTTTTCCTCTTTTTCTTTTAAAACTAAAGTCCCTAATTGATTTCTGCACCTGGCAGGGTCCTTAATGGTGTCAGCTGTTCTTCCCTGGAGCTGGCCTTCAGTATATGTGGGGGCAGAAGGCTGATGGCTTCCTGGGGAAAGGTGTATGTGAAGGGGCTTCTCTTCATGCTAGCCAGATGTTTCCTTTCCCTTCTCCTTTAAGACACTTGGAGATAACTATTCCAAACTCCTGGAGGGGTGGAATACTGTGTGCACTGGCTGTGGCAGGCTCTGAGGGTGGAGGTGGCTGCTGGCTCACCAGCTGTGTTGACATCCTTTTGATCAAAGACAAGAGTTGCAATCCCTTTCATGAATTATTTTGAGTGGGTTGACCCGGCAAGTGGGTGGTGGGGGAGGGCCTGATAAACAGATCAAACAGGACATTTGCAATTACTGGGGTTTGGGAATGTGACTGAGGGAGTGCCTCACAGGCCTGAGCTGCATCAGGCTGGTTCTTAGCATTCTGCTACAATAACATTGGTACTGAATTTGATGGCCAAATAAAGTTGAGATTTTAATACTATTATGTCTCCTTGTCTTTATCAGAGTGTAGAATATTTGAGCCTACCCTGGAAGGGAAGATCAGAGTTGTAGGATGATTCTCAAGGGACTCTGCTGCAATGGGCTGTGTGTCACTTGCTCCAAGTGATTAGTAAAGGAAAAGAACATCCCAGTGCTGTGTCCTGTCTGGATTCCATGGGCTGGTGTTCTGTTGGGAGCGAGCAGGCCGTGGCTTGGCTCTGAAAGTGTGCAGCCCCTGGGCCAGCTGGCTGGGCTGAGGGGACATGGCTCTGGAGAAGTGAGCCAGGGCTGCTGCAGCTCTGCTGGTCAGACTCACATGACCCCGTGAGCCACGCTGCTATTTCCAAACCTGCTGCTTGCTGCTGAAGGAATTTTGGTTAGAAAATACACTATAAATGTCACAGGAAGGGCATGGTGAGGCTAGAGGACAACCGGGGGCACCTCTGTGTCTCAGCGGATGGGATGTGTGCTGGAGCAGTGGCACAGGGCTGCTGGACAACACTGGTGTCTGTCTCCAGCTCCAGCCTTCTGCCACGCCCCAGCAGAGCCCTGATGTCACCAGACTTTGGACACAGCAGCACCAGGGCTGGGGCTGAGCAGGCCCCCACACCACGGGATGAGGAAGGGCTGTCCCTGACAGAGCAGCCAGGTGTGTGTGAGACCTGTACCTGCAGTTACATGGAGGCAGACCTTTGAAGGTGCCTCCCTCCAGGGCCGCATGACTGAAGGTAGGCAGTGGCCACCACCGCACCCCAGCAAACCCAGCAGTGCTGGTGGCCTGGGCTGGTTGGTGGCAGCTGCTTTGTCTTTTGGAGTGGGGAGGAAGGGAATCTCACTAGTGAAGCTCCACTGAAAGGTGCTGTCTAGAATTTGGCTCCAATAGGTCTATTTTGCACAGCCAGTTAAACAGTGACAGAGTCTGAGCTCTGCAGTGGCTCTCCTCCTCCTGGGCAGAGACCCACTGTGCCCAGCTTAGAGGAGGTGCCTCTCCTAGCCCAGGGCTCCCTGTGGCAGAGCTGCAGCTTAACAGCCATCTGCTGTACATGCCTAATTGCTGTTCCAAGAAAGGAGGCTGGAAGTGTTCTGTCCCCAGCGCTGAGCTTGGATGCCCCATGCTGTGTTCAGGCTCAGCTAACCACAAAGCAGGTGCTTGGCTGAGAGATCAATGTATTTGCCAGCAAATAAACAAGTGCAGGAGTTCTGAGGTGTGTGGCTGACTGTGCTGCGGGGTCAGGGCAGGGGTCTGCAGCAGGAGTGAAACCCCTGACTCCTAAAGCAGGACAGGGATTTTTTTCTGACTGACCTGCCAGGACAATCCCCATCAGCATGACAGAGCACAAAGTGCTTAAATGTCTGACATGCCCAAACTTTGATGGGAGAAAACAGAGCTTGCTTAAACCCTTGATGGACCTGGATAATGCCTCTGTGGCAGATGGTTCTGTTTTGGGTCACTACAGTGTAGCTGGAGTGTACCAGCAGCATGAGCTGTCTGGTGGTGGTGCTGTTCTGCTGTTCCTCTAAGGCTGCTTGTAGTAGCCTGCCCTCAGCAGCAGCTGCTTCCCTGTCCCAAGTGGGACAAGAAACACCAGGGACCAGCAGTGCAGGCTTCTGGTTCTGCACCTGTCTTGGGATCACCAGCAGCACCTCTGTCCTCGCAAGGGCACTGGGGATATCAGACGCTCAGGTTGTGCTTCCTTGCTCGGCTGTGTGCTGTCACAGTTGTGCTGGGCAGCAGAGCTCCTCCTGTTCTTTCAAGTTGTCCTCTCTAGCTACAGGAGGGTGACAGCTCTGGATGTGATTGTGCCCACAGCCCAGGCACGCCCACACTGCACTGGCCAGCTGGTACATGAGTGGCCGGTGCCCTGTGTTGCTGGTTGTGCCTGTGTCCCTTTCCCCAGAAGGGCTTGATGTTGGGAAATTGCTTCCAGGCTCCCCTGAAGGGCTACTCATGCAAGAGTAGATCTGACCCCTTGGAGGGGGCACATCAACAGGTGGGTGGTAAGATGAGACACCGACTTCTGCCCAAAAGTGGGAGGCTGCAGGCCTGGGCGGCTCGATTACGAAGCATCATGGCAAATAGCATGAGCTGCATGTCCCCAAAATAGCCCGGGGGAGTCTTTATAACGCGGTGCTCCCAGAGAATCATCAGTCCTGGGCCAAGGGCCTGTAGGTGAGCTGCAAGTGCCGGTGCCACATCCTGCATGTGAGTCAGGGAGCGCGGGAGAGCACAGCGGCCGCTTCCCTGTGGCGAGGGACACGGAGCCCGGCCAGGCGCGGCAGGGCCGGCACGGATTTGCGGCGAGGAGAGCCCCTGAGGGCAGCAGGGCAGTGAGGGGCCGGGCTGTGTGCTGAGCAGCCCCCATGCCGCTGTGCCTGAAGGCTGCCGTCAGCATGAGGGACTATTGCCCCACGGTGCCCCGGTACAGCCGGTACACGCCTCGGTACAGCCGGTACACGCCACGCCTCAGGGCCTCGCGCACCGTGCACTTCCCCAACGACGTCGTCTTTCAGGACCACATCAAGCAGGGCGACCTGGAGCAGGTGGGCAGGTTCATACGGGCCAGGAAGGTGACACTGGACACCATCTACCCTTCTGGTGAGTGCTGCCGGTCGGCAGAGCGGGGCAGAGCGGTAGCACAGCTCGGTGGGGCTGTGGGACACCGGGGCTGGGCTGTGGGCAGCCCTCAGCAGCACTGGGGCAAGCCAGGCCCTCGCTAGCAAGGAGCAGGGCCCAGCAGGGCCCCAGAGCCCAGCCCGGGGCCCCAGCATCTCCCCTCAGCAGCAGAGTCAGTGCCTGCTGAGGGACGGGGGAGCTTGGCCCCCTGTACGGCACCATTGTGCACCCACAGCGCGGTGGGACCCCAAAGGGCGGCAGCCAGCACAGGCTGGGAGCTCTGGCAGCACCCTGGGCTTTTGCCTTTTCCCCTGCCTGGGAGATCTGCATTTGTTCTTGGCTCTGCCTGTTTCTCACAGGCACTGCTCCTTCTTGTATGTCTGACTCCAGGGACTCGGGGAAAGCTTTGTGTTCTGTACACACAGCCTCACCAGAAACTGTTTATGGAATGCCTTTATCTGTAGAGGCTGATGCAGAGCCCAGATCTGTCCTTTTCTTGTGCTTTGGTTCAGCTTCTGCTCTCACAAGGCCATGGAGACGGAGGCTCAAATGACCCCAGGCTTCTTTCTGCCCATAGTGATTCTTTGTTAGTGATGAGCTTATGAAACTCAGGCAGAGCACAAGGCCAGAGACTCTCCTCATGTCTCCGTGCTCAGAGCAGCTGCTCTAAGGGGCAGTTCCTCCTCCCTCCCTCTGTCCTAGCTAGTTGGGGCACTGGGTGCTGCACCATCCCAGACAGGGTATTTGTGCTGCAAAGGGCAACAGGAACCCACAGCAGCTCCTCTGGCTTTCTCAGTCTGTGTTTCTTTCCCCACAGTCCTCTCCCTGAGAAGGAGAGTGCCGGCACCCCTTTCCTGAGCTGTGCATTCAGCGTGGAGAGCCCTTCCCGCAGCCAGGGCTAACCCCCGCTGTCCCCCCAGGCATGGCAGCCCTGCATGAAGCCGTGCTGACAGGAAACCTGGACTGCGTCAAGCTCCTGGTGAAACACGGCGCTGACATCCACCAGAGAGACGAGAACGGCTGGACGCCGCTGCACATGGCCTGCAGCGACGGCTACGCCGACATCGCCAGGTAGGGCTGCGGGGCCCGGCACCGGCGGCACCGCGCTGCAGCCGAGCCCGTGCGGCTCCCCGGGGCTGCCCGGTCCCGGGGCTGCCCGGCCCGGCGGCTCAGCTCCGCGTCCTGCAGGTACCTGCTGTCCCTTGGGGCCAGCCTGGAGGCCACCACCGACGACGGGGAGAAACCCTCGGACCTCATCGACCCCGAGTACGAGGACCTGGTGCAGCTCCTGGGAGGCACGGCGCTGCGCTGAGCCGGCACGGCCCGGGGGGCTGCGCCTGCCCGAGGGCCGGGGCTGCGCCCGGGCTGGGCCCGGGCGGCGAGCGGGCACCAGCGCTCGGTACTGCGATCGGGAACCACTTTGTACTTTTGCAATAAAGCGTATCGGCCACCACCTGCGGCACCATCTCCGGTCCCGCCTCTGGTACCATCTTCGCTACCACCTGCGGCACCACCTACGGCACCATGTCCGGTACCATCACCGGTACCACCTCCGGTACCACCCGCAGCACCATCACCGGTACCACCCGCAGCACCACCTCCGGTACCACCTCCGGTACCACCTGTGTTACCATCACCGGTACCACCCTCAGCACCATCTCCGGTACCACCTCCGGTACCACCTGTGTTACCATCACCGGTACCACCCTCAGCACCATCTCCGGTACCACCCGCAGCACCACCTCCGGTACCACCTCCGGTACCACCTGTGTTACCATCACCGGTACCACCCGCAGCACCATCTCCGGTACCACCTCCGGTACCGCCTGTGTTACCATCACCGGTATCACCCGCAGCACCATCTCCGGTACCACCTCCGGTACCGCCTGTGTTACCATCACCGGTACCACCCGCAGCACCATCTCCGGTACCACCTCCGGTACCGCCGTGCGGGGGCGTGGCCTGGCGGGCCGGGGGCGTGGCCAGCGCGGTGCGCAGGGCCGCGCCCCGCCGAGCCCCTTCCGGCCCCGCCGAGCCCCGCCGAGCGCCGCTGCCGACATGGCCAGGTGAGCCCCGCCCGGCCCCGGGCCCAGCGCGGCCCCGGGCCCGGCTCAGTTCCCCCCGCGCTCCGCTTGCAGCTCCCCCGTGTCCCGGGTGGTGTACAACGGAAAGCGGAGCGGCGGCCCGCGCTCCCCCGGCGCCGGCAGCGAGATCTTCACGCCGGCCCACGAGGAGAACGTGCGCTTCATCTACGAGGGTGAGCGGGGCGGCGGCCGCGGGGCGGGGGCGCGGGCGGCTCGGGGCGGCCGAGGCGAGCGGCCCCCGGCCCTGCCCTGCCCTGTCCCGGCAGCCTGGCAGTGCGTGGAGCGCGACCTGCGCAGCCAGATGGGCTCCGAGCGCGGCCTGGTCGAGGAGTACGTGGAGAAGATGCCGAACCCCAGCCTGAAAGGTGCGGGGCGCGGGGGCACCGCTCTGGCCGTGCCGGCCCGGGGTTGTGCGCGCCGGGCGGGGCTGCGCTGCCTCTGCCCCCAAAGTCTCTCCTGTCTCCCTTGCAGCGTTTAAACCCGTCGACCTGGGTGATCTGAAGAGGAGGAACACACAGGATGCGAAGAAGTCCTAAAGCAGGTCCTCCGTGCAGGTCGGCTGCTCTCCTGAGGTCCTCAAGCAGATTTAATTTGAGATTTTGTGTTGATTTCCTCCTCTGGTCTGTCCTCCTAAAAGCCTGTGGGAGAGCCAGTCAGCTCTGGGGCTGGCTCTGAAGCTGCCTGAGGTCGAGGATGCTCAGGGCCTCACCAAGACTGCCCAGAGCCTGTTGCAAAGGATTCCAGCCCCCCGCTCATAGCTTTCTCTGGCCTCAAACTGCCCTTCCCCACTTCATGCTGAGCAACCCGATCCCCTGTTCCCCTCCTGTCGCTGCCCTCTGTGCTAGGCTGGGCAGGGCTGAGGCAGATGCGCTGTTGGATCGGGCAGCACAGGGCCTCGCTCTCCCCTGTGCACCAAAGCTCCACCACTGCTGGGGCTGGCCCAGGGCAGGTGGCACAGTCAAGTCTATTCCTGTGCCTCCAGACACAGGGACAGCCCCTGCCCAGCCCTGCTGTGCAGCTGAGGGTTTGGAGGCCATAGCCAGGCTCCTCCCAGTTCCACTGTGGCAGCAAGTTGCTGCCTGGGCTGCTTGCTGCCAGAGCACGTGGGCCACATCTGAGGCCGCATTTTCTACCTGCTTAGATCAGGCCTGGTCCCTGTGGTGCTGGAGGGGAAGGTGTTCCTCTCCCTACAGATGGAGAGGAGGAGTGTCAGCACCAGCCGCAGGCTTCTGAGAGATGCTCAGAGGGACCTGTGCCACCTGCAGCCCCACAGGAGACATTGGCTGTGGGGGCAGCCGTGGGGCTGCACGGAGCAAAGGCTCGGGAGCTCCTTGCCCTGGCAACGCTGCAGTTTTGTACTAACACCATTTTCCAGATATGCAGCCCTTGGAAGAGACCTGGCCCCTCAGCTCGCCCTGGGTGCCGCAGGTGCTGGAACCACTCCCAGGTGCTTCCTTAAGCCACTCACTCCTGGCACCGCCTGGATGGTTCCTGCATCCTTGCCTGAGCCAGAGAGAGTGACTGTGTCAGCTTTGCCCGCCCCAGCTGCTGGGCTGCTCCTTGGGGAGGGCTGGCAGCCCCCTGCCCGCCTGTGCTCTGGGCTGGTGGGGATGGGGCTGCCAGGCCTGCAGTGCCAGCGGCTGTGGGGAGGGCTGCAGGGACCTGGGGCTGCCAATACCTTTCCTTTGTTGAGTCCTTGAGTTGTACTGTACCCTTTCCTTTCTGTGGTATGTCACTTGAGGAGTGTTGTAAATAAACGCTGGTGTCCTTTTGGGGCTGCCTTGGTGTGGTGCTGCAGCCTGGCCCAGCTCTGGGGCATGGACAAGGGGTAGAGAGCAGGAGCTGTGTTTGTGTTTTGCAGAGGGGCCTTGGCCTTGCTGGGGCTGGCGGTTTCCCTGCAGGCAGGTGCAGTGTGTCGGTGGCACAGTGCCCTTGGGTTTGGGCAGCCAGCATCCCCGGAGCTGTGGCTGCACCCAGGATTTAAATGTTGAGACTATTAATACCCTCATATCCTCTTCCCTCTCCTGCTTTAATGGCATTTAGGCTATACTTAGCGTTGCTAGAATTTCTGCTGGAGTGCGTCTTGACACTTGCCACGACCCTGTTTACTTCCCATCACCAAAACATTCCTGCTGCTTGGTTCTGGCACAGCAAGATGGAAACTCAGCCCCTGTTGCCTCCTGAGCCACCCCAGGCCCTGCATCCCTGCAGCTGCAGGCAGGAGGGGACAGGGAGTGATGCCTGTCATTGTCACAGCCCCTCTCCTTTCACTCTTCTGGTGGGATGGGCCCTGTGGTTGTTCAGGGAGCCTGACAGGGCAGTGGGGCTGCCCTGGCTCTTGGCTCTTAGCATGTGCAGAGCCATGTCCTGTGTCCAGGCAGGCTCCTGTTCAGCTGCCGTGGAGCCCAGCACTGTCCCCCTGTCTGGCACCCATCTGGGGCCATCCCAGGTCTGCAGGACCCCCACATGCCCCTGGGCACGAGGGCCCCGCTGCAGCCCCACTAGCTCCTGCCTTGTTTTCCTCTGCTCGGGCACGGTAAAGCCAGAGGCAAAGCAGCTGCTCAAGCTCTAATGAAATGTACAAAAAACATTGTATAAGCAGGTGATTTTTATAAAGACTGATGTCAAATTGCAGGGCAAGGATGGTGAGGCGGTAGGGGGAGGTGGTGGGTGTTAGGGGTGTGAGGAGTGAGGCCACAGGCCAGAGAAATCAGGCTGTTTACCTATAAAAATCGACCTCATCAGGGTTTATTTCTCTGTGCCTTGGACACAGTGCTCTTCATTAGATTAAAGGGTGGGAGGAGGAGAGGAACGTGTTTGTCATCAAATTAGGTGGTGGGGAAGAGGCCTGGCAGCAAGCAGAATCGACTTAGGAGACCAATTTGTGGTGCTCAATTCCCTTGATAAAGTGGGAATTTTCCTGTGAGGCGCCGTGCCTAGGGGTGCCTGGCCGTGCTGGGGTGGGGGCACTGCCCGCCGTGCCTGGCTGTGTCAGGAAGGCACTGGCTGGGGACACAGCCCAGGCCACCAGTCTTGGGGTGAGGAACGGCCTCAGCCCCAGTCCCTGCCTTGGGATGAGCTCTACGCCATGGCTGCGCTGTGGTGTCTGCAGTGTCTCTGCTTGGGACAGTGAGGTTCCAGCATGGGCTGCCTGGAAGGGCAGGGGGTGCTTAGCTGCTCCGTCTCTGAACACTCAGTGCCAGGCTGGACGGGGCTCTGAGCAGCCTGGTGTGGTGCAGGTGTCCCTGCTCACTGCGGGGGCTGGGCCAGGGAACATTTAAAGGTCCCTTCCCACCCAAGCCATCCTGCAAGTCTGGTCAGGCTGCTGTCAGTGCCTTCATCCCTCTGCATGCCAGGAACGAGTGGCTCCCATCGGGCAGCCGAGGGTGGCGCCTGCCTCTGTGTGTGTGCGCACGTGAGCATGTGTGTGCACGTGTGTGTGTACATGTGTGTGCGCACATGAGTATGTGTGTGCACGTGTGTGTGCACACGTGTGTGTGCGCACGTGTGTGAGTACACGTGTGTTTGTGTGTGCGCACATGTGTGTGTGCACGTGTATGTGTGTGCACACCTCTGTGTGTGTCTGCACATGTCTGTGTGCAAGTGCATGTGTGTAGGGTATACATGTGTGCTGTATGTGTGCATGTGTGTGTGTGTGCGGTGTATGTGTGCTGGGTGTGTGTGTGATGTACGTGTGGTGTACGTGTGCACACACGTGTGCACACGTGTGCAGGCTGTGCTGCTTGAGCTGTTCCTCGGGGTGGGGGTGCCCCTGAGCGCTGGCAGAATGGGCACAGCACAGGATGGACACAGCACAGGATAGGTGCCAGCACTGCTGGCAGTGCCAGACTGAGGCAGGCAGGGGTGCCGTTGCGGCAGCTCTGCAGTGATGGGACAGGATGGTCCTGCAGTCCCACAAGAGCTGTGTCCTTGGGCCGGGGCCCACCCCACTTCCAGGGAGGTCCCAGGAGTGGAGTTGCCTCCCGACCATCCTGGGGGCTGTAGCTCCCGTGGTTATTGGGGAACTGCTGGCCACAGCATGTGGCTCTGTGGGAGCTGGAGGTGACCAGGGCACAGGGCTGCGGATTCAGCCCTGCAGTACAGGCAGTGCCCAGCTCTGGGTGCTGTCGGACATGGCCTGGTGCAGGCAGGCGTTGTGTGCTTACACGGGACTCCTAGGCACCGGCAGACACCATCCCTTCTTGGGCTGTTGGGGGTTTGTGGGACATGGGGAGTGCTGGGGGCTGCCCCTCAGCACCAGGGGACACAGGACATTTCCACAGCACACCCATGGGCTGGGGCTGACTCGAGGTCCCTGAAGGGTCCCCATCATTGTGTGGCACACGTAGGGCCACCTTTGCTGGGCAAGGTCTGGGGGCCAGCCTGGCCCCAGCGGGGTTGGGGTCCACAATGGGGTGTTGCCACAGCAACGCTGGAGCAACAGGCGCAGGGCACGGCCCCGTGCCATGCCATGACCATATTTACCTTCCCAGAAACTGCTCGGTGCTCCAGCAATTTGCCTCAATTAGGCTCGTTACCACGTCAGGAAGGCCGCAGTGACGGCAGCGGCTGTGGGGCCATTGGCTCCGCGGGGGCTGCCGGGGCCGCTCTGGCACCATGGCTGTAAGCGGGGTAATCCCTGCTCCTCTCTCTATTCCTGTCCCCATCCTTGCACATGGGGGCCTGAGCAGACCCCCAGCACTGTGCTCCCCTCCCCTCGTCCGTTCCACCACAGTCCCTGTGTCCTCACAGCCCCACGGTGCTGCCGCCCCCGCCCCACAGCCCCGCAGCCCAGACCCTCTGTTCCCCGTCTCTGCTGCTCCCGTCCGCGCTGCCAGCGCTGCTCTGCCTCTTGGGCGCCGGGTCCTGCCCGGCCAGGGCAGACAGCAAGTTGTCGAGTAAACAGAGGAAAATTACTGTGGGCTGGGCTGTGCTGCCGGAGCCAAGCTCTGCGTGGCCTGGGCCATCGCTTATTTGGCCGTGCCATGCCAGCCCCACCGGTGCTTCGCTGCGGCCGAGCACGCCGCAGACAGCGCGGCTCCCGACGGCTCCCGAGGGTGTCAGGGGAGCCGTGGGTGTCAGGGGAGCCGCGGGTGTCAGGGGAACCGTGGGTGTCAGGGCAGCCGCGGGTGTCAGGGGAGCCGTGGGAATCAGGGCCACGGCCGTGCGGGCGGGCGGTGCTGCGACAGGGTGCGATTTACCGGGGGACTGCCGCCTGCCCGGTGTTCACGGCGGGACTGCCGGGGCGCAGCGCCAGCTCTCAGCGCGTCCCCTGCGCCGGGCTGTGTGCGGGACCGTCACCCGCCCGGGGCCAGGCGGAGCGGAGGGATGGGTGACGGTCAGTGCCCATGGCCAGGTCCACGGGCGGCGGGGGTCACGGCAGGGCGGCTGTCCGTCCCGCCGCCACCCCTCGGGCAGGGTGAACCCAGCCGGGGAGCGGCACCGGCCTAATCCCCACACACCAGGCGATTGTGGTGCCCAAAGCTGCGGCATCCGGGCTTAGCGCTCATGTGCGCAGCACAAGCCTCTTAGGCCAGCGCTGTGAGCCCGCCGCAGCCCGCCCGGCCTGTCGGCACAGGGGTCTCGCAGCCCCGCACCCCGCTGCTGCTCACCGAGCCCGCGCTGCCGGCGGCTGATGCCCGGCCAGCTACCGGAGAGCGGGGGTGCCGCGGGCAGAGCCAAATGATTTAATTAAGGGCTCCTGGCAGCGAGAGGACAGAGCCGATTAGCGGCCAAAGGAAAGCGCGTGCTGGGGGAGCTGGAGCCCCGGCCGGCAGCGCTGCAGCGGCTGCTGCTGCTGCATGTCTGCCCCGCTCACTTGTGCGGCAGCGTGGGGCGGGCAGAGGGGCAGCAGGGCTGCGGGCAGGCAGCGGGGCAGGCAGCGAGGCTGTTTTCTGGAGCAGCACATCCCTGCCAGGTGACGCAGCTCCCCTATCCAGGGCTGTGGCTTGGGAGCATCCGTGGGGTGCTTGGGAGCATAGTCCACAAATGTCCAATGTCCCCAGTGTTCCCCAGTTTCCCCAGTCCCCACAGCAAGGCACACACAGAGCTGGCCCTGCAGCCCGGCACGGGCCCACACCTATTTACAGATATGACAGATAAATTACAGCACTGTGCACAGGGACTAGAAGGTGCACGAGGGAAGCACCACAGGACAAACTCCCACCCCTACAGATCCCCCTGGCCCCACAGTTCCCGTTTCCAGGGGTCCGGGTCCCACTTGCCTGCCTCACTGTGTCCATTGTCCGTGTGCCCCTCCACAGGGTGGCAGGTCCCAGTGCCCGCCAGCACCCGGCGAGGACGGGGCAGGGCACGGCGGCATGCCGGCGGCTCAGCACAGCCCTCCCTCCTGGCTGCGGGCTCAGAAGTGGCTCTCGGCCGTGGTCTCAGGAAACTCATAGCAGTGGTGATGGCCCCCCAGGGCGAGGTGCTCGGCAGCGCTGCGCCCGCTCCTCTCCAGGCGCTGGGAGCTGGGCTGGGGGACCAGGCTGCGCCCCAGCCCATTGGTGCAGCCACTCACCAGCTGGTGCTTCTCGCAGGTGCTGCCAGCGCCGTTGCGGGCACTGGGTGCATGGCTGTAGGTGTGCTTGTACTCCTCAGCCAGGTCCTTCCCCAGCTTCCAGCGCTGCCACCGCTTCAGCAGCTCTGCCTGCACCTGCGGACAGCAGCTGTCAGAGTGACCCTGTGCCCCTGCTGCCCGTGCCCCCGCTGTCCTGCTCACCTCCTTGTTGACGAAGCAGTAGAGAATGGCCACCAGCAAACCCTGGGAAGGGGGAGGAGAGAAATGAAGAGAAGATAACCAGACCTCAGTCTAGTCCCTCCTGAGACTGTGTCTCCCCATGGTGGGCTGGCCTGCGAGGGCTGGGCTCACCTGGAAGGAGCTCAGGAAGAGGTCGAAGAAGAGCTTGACATAGCGCAGTGTGCCCTGGGCGTGCTCGTCTGTGATGAAAGCGAAGACCACCTCGTGGATGCCCAGCAGCGGGATGAGGGTCAGCGTGGACCTGGCCAGCCTGTGGGACGGGGTCATGGGTGGGCACGCAGGCCTGTGTGCCCTGGGAGCACAGGGTGAGCCGTGCCCAGCACCCACCTGAACTTGTAGTCAGTGTAGCGCATCTGGTGTGCACGCAGCTTGGAAACAAGGATCTGAATGATGCGGATGAAGATGAAGAAGTTGATCTGCAATGGAATGGAGTGAGCCATCTGCACAGGCAGAGCCAGAGGAGGGGCAGACAGGACACCTCTGTTCCCCTGCCCTCAGCAGCTCTTCTCACAGCCATCCTGGGGCCTGTGAGAGAGACTCGAGCAGGGGACTGCAGTGGGCTCACCAGGATGGCCAGGAACACGGGGAAGCGAAGGATCCACCAGAAGCCCATGTTGTTGTTTGTGGACCAGCACCTGCAGAATGGAGGGATGGGGACTGCCAGGAAGCCCCTTGACCAGGCAGCTGCTGGAGACTAGCATGGCACTAGCGGCCTGAATCAAGCAAGCACTAAAGGCCAGAACCCTGCTCTTTGCCATGGGCAATGGTGTGGAGTGACTCCAGGGCCATCACAATGTCCCTACAGTCCCACATGCACCTACCTGTGCCCTGTGCCCCCCTCCAGCCAGCAGCTGGAGCTGGTACTCACTGTATGTTTTCGTAGAGGAACTTCACAATGACCCAGGGAATGAGGAACAGCATGGGTGCCCCTGAGGGGAGGTGAGCAGAGGATGGGTGAGGCACAGCAGGGCACAGGGTGGGTCAGGGGGCCCAGCCCAGCCACACTCACCCCAGCCGATGCACAGGTAGAGGGTGAAGTAGCTCCTCTCGGAGAAGACGGCCACCACCAGCAGATTATGCAGGTAGATGCCTTCCACCAGCAGCCAGCAGTAGTTGGCCACAATGCCGTACTGCATGAAGACCGTGGCTGCCCGGCAGCCTGCAGCTGCCTGTAGGCAGGGGTCAGGGCTGCAGCGCTGCCTGTGCCCCCAGCCCCACCAGTGCCCCCAGCCCAGTCAACCCCCAGCCCCACCGCACTGCCTGTCCCTGTCCCTCTCCCTGTCCCTGTCCTCCTGGTGCTGCACTGACCTCGTCGCTCAGCCAGACTTGCACGTTGTAGCCATCAATCTTGTCACTGTAGTGGGTCTTGAGCAGGGCGTCGATGACCAGCACGGAGACGCCCTTCAGGATGAAGGAGGCGAAGAGGTTCATGTGGATGTAGTTCCTCATGCAGTGCAGCTTGCTGCGGATTTGGGGGCCATTGTCAATGCCCGTGCATGGGCCCCTGGCCTCCACCTGCCCACCCTGTGGACAGCCATGCCCAAACTCCCACCTGAAGCCCAGCAGCAGGGCCAGGGCAAGCAGCAGTGCACACAGGGACACAGAGTAGCCCACAGTGTACATCACCTTGAAGCTGCCATAGGTCTTGGCAAATTTTTCCTGGAAAAGGAGGGAGCAAGTGAGGGCAGGGGCAGACAGAGGGCAGGCAGGGGGGCAGGCAGGGACCCCCACACCCCTGCTGCCCAGGTCTGCCCACCTGCGCCTTTAGGTCCTCGTCATCCTGCTCACACTGTGTGGCATCGCGCAGGGACTGTCCCCGTGGCCCTGTCACCCACTGTCCATCTGGCCCACAGGTCTTGAAGACGTGTCTGTGCTTCACTGTGAGGGGAGGGCATGGTGAGGAATGCCAGCCCCAGCGCCCCCATGGGCAGCGTGCACTGGCCCAGGTGTGACTGCCCGCAGCAGCACCTGCACACAGCACACAGGTGTCCCAGCACAGCTGCGCACACGTGTGAACATACTGCACAGCTGCAGACATGTGAACACACTGCACAGCTGCTCACATGTGTGAGCATACTGCACAGCTGCACGTGCACACGCGCCTCCCCGCTGTTACCTTTCTGGTACCAGGGCAGGAACCAGGGGCAGGGCACACTGGCTGTGCTGTTGGGCGCCGTGTCGGGCCAGCAGGAGAACTTGTCGAAGGTGCGGTTACAGACCAGCTCTGCAGAAGGACAGGAGCTGGTGGCACTTTGGCCTCACCCTCCACTGCCCCCTCTGCTCTGTCCCCCATCCTGCAGCACCCCGTGCTGGCTGCTCTGCCCCATCCCTATCTCATTCGGACCCTGCCCCTGCCCCATCCCACCAGAACCCTCCGGGACCCCAGGGGCCCTGACCTGTGGGCGCAGGCAGGCGGCTCATGTTGCGCTGGCACTCCTCGCTGTACTCCTTCCATCTCTCAACAACGTGATCCGTGATCTGGGCAGAGGGACCCTGCGGGCACCAGGGACTGTCACACGTGTCCTGCCCGCAGGGGTCACCACGCTGTGCCGGGCAGTGACCCCAGCTGGGGGACAGGCACAGGCGAGTGCAGGCGAACATGCCATGCCGTGCCATTCTGAGCCATGCCATGCCATGAGGAGGCACAAAGGGGCATCAGATGCTGTGCCAGGGTGAGGGGAGGCAGTGGGATGGGGTGGCTTGGTGGCAGTCCTGCGTGAAGCGTGGGGCAGAGCACCCTCATGTGTGACAGCACATCCTTACCTGGCAGCAGAGCAGCAGCACCAGGAGGGTGAGGAGACGTGGCTGGGACATTCCTCCTCTGGACCACATGCATGGGACACAGCGCAGGGCACACGGCTTCCTACTGGCCCTCAGCAGCTTCTCCACTCTGGTGGTGACGGCCCTGGCATGTGGGCAGCCCTGTGCAAGACGCCTGGTCACGGGCACTCCTGGGACACAGCTGGGGGACATGGGGCTAGGGCAGGTGGGGCTGGAGGCAGCCACTCTGGCACAGAGCCAGGCACAGTCATGGTGCCTCACTCCTGTCCCCATCCTCACCCGACCCTGCTTGGTGCTCACATTCAGATATTTGTTCACTCATTTTTGCACCAAGTGCCTCTACTATCCTCCCCAAGAAAGCATGGGGACAGTGACCATGCAGGTTCTCTGCCTGCCAAGCCAGTTTCAGCCCCTGTGTGGCTGGAGTGCAGCAGCACTGCTGACTCCAGACCCCCACAGAAAACCTGGGCTGGTGCCACCCCACACTGCTGCTGGGACCCAGCTGTGCATCATTGCTAAGTCCTGAGAATGCAGACCCCATGGTAGAAGGGACTCCTCCTCACACCTGAGCACCCTCTCAGGCAGAGAGGCTGGCACTTGGGATCCCCTGTCTCCATGGACTCTCTTGCCTGGGCCACTGACACCCAGCCATGGTGTGGCAGCAGCACCCACTGTGGATGGCAGTGGCCAGGGAGCCACGGAGAGCACAGGGCCAGCAGGGATGGGGACACTGGCCATTAATCCACAAGGATCCTGGCTCGTGGGGCTGCTCTGGCCCCAGGACAAGCTCAGCTGGGCTGTGCCCCTGTGGGTCCATCACCCCCAGCTCCGGGCAGTGACGTGGGGCCTGCCTGACCTGGGGTCCGGGTGCTCCACAGGCCCTGGCTCACGAGGTGCCATAATTCCCTCCATCCCCCTAAGCCGGTTATGGGGCTCCTGAGCAGGATTTCAGCTCTTCCCACAAGGGCTCATTATGACAGCAGCCCCATGGCACAGCCCAGCTCTGTGGGGTGAGGGCAGCCCAGCCAGGGGATGGGAGGGACAGCAGTGCCAGGGCCACCACAGGCACTGCAGCATCACCCCAGCCCTGGGCTCCCCCTTGGGCACCAGCCAGAGCGTCGTGCTCCCCGACCAGTCTGCTCCCAGGGCTCGCTGCTCTGCCTGTGCCTATTTTTATCCCTGGGAAAGTCGTGTTTCCTCCATCCGTGCAGACCCACTTGCCATGCCGCAAGTGGCTGCCGGAGCAGCTCATTAATCAGCGCGTGGGGCTCCAGATGCGGCTCGGGGAGCAGGACCTGCCATGGCCTTATTTAGCCAGTCCCAGGACAGAGGAAGCTGTCTCCTGGGACAGTTCTCACTGGGTGGGCTCTGTGAATAGGGACCTTTCTTGGGTGCCCACTAGCCACCTCACCATTCCAGAATTCCTGGTTTTGTCATCACCCCAGCAGCACTGTTGCCCAGCCAGTATCCCTGTCCTAGTCCCTCTCCCATCCCACCTCAGGATCCCTGTCTCTTTCCTCCCACACCCCCATGCCAGCATCCCTGTCCTTGTTCCCCTGCTAGCCCTATCCTACATCCCTGTGCCCCGCTCCAGCACATCATCATCCCTACCTGTCCCATGCCACCTATGTCCCAGTCCCACGGGAAGATGTCAGTGCCAGACCCTGGACAAGCATCAGTCCCTGCCCTTGTTGGGAATGCTCCTCCAGGTCCATGGGTCACAGTGGCTCGCTGTCAACCCCTCTGCGCAGCCGGGGAGCAACTTTGGGGCAGAGGTGTCGCTATTTTTAGTTGCTGCAGTGGGATTTAGCAGCAGGGAGGCCTCTGCCCTGGACTCCCCCCATCTGGCAGCCGTTCCCCGGCCTGGCCCCATCGTGGCCAAGCCGGGCAGACTGCACTGGGTGAGGGGTCCTGGCACGGGGGCCAGTCATGCTCCGAGCCCCGGCACGGGTCTTCCCCCTCACCCTGCCCAGGCCCTTTGCCCCAGCTGCCTGTGGCACAGCACAGCCGTGGCACCATGCCAGGTCCCCGCTACCCACAGGACGAGGGGTCCCTGCAGACGGGGCTGCTTCCAGCAGAGACCTGGCAGTGCAGAAGTAGCCGTGGACCAGCCCTCCCTGGTCTGCTGCCAGTGGGCAACAGCAGAGAGGGAGCAGTGGCTCTGTGTGGTGGAACAGCAAGGTCTGGGATGGCTGGGACCACTGGCAGCACTGGCACCTCCCTGGAGCTGGCACTGCCAGGCAGCAGCTCTGCCAGCTAGACCTGCTGCAGCCCCTGCCAGCTGTGCCTGGCCCCACATCCTCACCACCTCCTCTCACTCTGCTGTGCCCAGCTGGCTCCCAGTGCCACATTCCCTGCCCTGGCACCTCATCCCCAGCTGGGGCCAGGCTTTGGGGGATCCCCCACCACACCAAGTCATAAGCAGTGGGTGGAGGGTGCCTGGCCTGTGAATTGCTGCCTCTGAGGGGCTGCAGTGCATGACAACGGGTGTCCAGGGGACTTTTGCCCCACGCTGGTGTTGGACAGCGGGGTACGTTCCTGTGTCATGGTCCTGTGGCTGCTGACCTTCATGGAGCCAGGCTGCAAACACCCAGTACGACTCCACTCGGAGCCACAGCTGTGAAGAAGAGACCTTGTGCCAGGAGAGCAGGAACAAGGAGACAACACTGGGATGGCTACGAGCAGCACCACTGCTGGTAGCCCCGGTGCTGGGGGCCAGAGGGCTCAGGCACCATCATCTGCCCTCAGCGTGTGGCTGTTGCTGGCATCTGCATTTGTCTTTCCCAAGCCAGCAGTGCCAACCCCTGCAGCCCCAGGAGCAAAGCAAGGACCCCCATTCCCCTTGACTGGTGCCCCTGTGGTCCCAGCTGACCTGCAGCTCATGGCAGCTGCCATTGGCCCCAGGGTGGTCAGGAGGCAGGGGCCAGCCCGGGCAGGGTGCAGGGCAAATTGAGCACCTTGCTGCCATGGAATTGCAGCAAGACAGAGGGCATGGATGGGACAAGGCTTGTGCTGGGATTTTGCTCCCCACTAATGGGTGGGCAGCCTCCATGCTACCCTGCAGCAGCTCTGTACCAGCATGGACTCCCACTGGTGGCTGAGTCCAGCCCTGCCCAGGAAGAGACCCTCTCCTCATCCCATCATGGCCAGTTTGCCCTGAGGATTTTGCCCCCCCAGCCCCTCTGGCATTGCTGCCATTGCATGTGTGAGAGAATGAGCTCCACATCTGGGACCTCTGTGGCCACCAGTCATGTGGATCAGTGGCTTCGTGAAGTCTCCACAGGACACTCATGGGCATCTGCAACGTGACCTGGAAGCACCTTGGCACAGCCACAGTCCAGCACAAGTGCAGAGAGACTGGCGCAGCCCCCAGAGCCTGGTCCCACAGGACTCTTGTCTCCTTGGGGGGGTGGGGACTTGGCCTCCTGTGAGCCCAGCCCTGCACCCAGCCCAGCCCTGCTGGCTCGGAGGCAGCTGTGGGGGCTGTGCAGCCTCTGGACACAGGGATTAGCCCCCCATGTGCTAATGCGGTGCCTTCCACGGCTGGCTTGGCTTGGAGCTTGGAGCTACATGCCAGCACGGCAGGGGCTTTGGCACTTGGCAGGGGAGGGGACGGTGCTGGGCCAGGGCTGATGCAATGCCAGTGCCAGCCTGGCCCTGCAGATGCTGCTCCACTTTCCACCCGGGACCGCGGCAAGCGGGGCAGGGCTGGGGGAGGTGGCCGTGGCAGGGAGGCTCAGGAGGTCTGTCCCGCATCGTCCCTGCCCCATGTCTGTGCTGGAAGCTCAGGGATGTTTCCTACTCCCCTTCTCCATTCTTTCCTTGAGAACTAAATACAAGGAACTTTGGCAGCAAAGGAGCAGCTGAGCAGCCCGGAACAGCCCTTGTGCTGCAAGGCTGTGACTTGTTTGCACAGAGCTGCATGATTGTGGAAGCCCTGAGCAATGGCACATGGAGAGAGCCAACGTCACCAGGCACTGGTGATGTCGAATTCTGTCACCTTGGACCAAGAAAACCCAAACCAGCCCTGACGGTGTTTTCATCAACAGGAGCATAGGATGCAAAGAGGACAAATGCTCTTTGCATCACCTCCACTACTGCCCAGTCACCACAAGACATGGTCCGAGAGCACCTGCTCAGCTGCTCTGCACCACGGAGGGATCATGACACAGCCTGGCAGCAGCCAAATTACCTTGCTGCCCAGCTTGCTCTGGCATGGGGATGCTGAGCCACACAGCACCTCATCCCTGCTCAAGGAAAGGGGTGTTTTTGTTCATCACATTGCACAAAAACCTGTGAAACACAGAAGGAAGGCACAAGAGGCATGGTGTGACACGTGTGGTTAGCATGTCACAGGGGAGGCACAGGGCTGGGAAAAGCCGAGGAAAAGGTCAGTGCAGACAGGCTAGTGCACACATTGCCCTGCACTGGGAGCTCCACACCCGCATGCCAAACAGATCTGCAGCCCCGGGTACAGCCAGGGGCAGCCCCAGCAAGGCGGGGGGGCTGAGGGGCCACACGTGCCCAGCCATCCACTGGCACCACAGGCATGTGCACTCGACCCCAGTGCTGGGGTAGATAAATGAGGGCATGGGGACGCAGGACAAAGCAGGATGCAGTGGTGGAGCACAGGAGAATGGAGTTGAGCAGCCATCCCCTCTCCCCCCTGTCCGGCTTCCCCTGCCCCTGTGCTTGCCTGGCACAGTGAGGTGCATGGAGATGCTGTGCTCAGTGGCTGGTTTTAGCCCTGTGCTGCTGCTCAGGGTTTGTGGTCACATTTTTTCATTAACTATTTTTAATCCACATTTTGCCTATTCTCTGTTCAGCCTTTTCTCTTTTCCCCTCTCTAGGCAACAGAACATAAAAAAAAAAAAATAAATGCACCGCAGTGTGCAGAAAGGAGCAGGATTGGTGGGAAGCCATAGGAGCTGGCAGCTGGGGCAGCACTAACACGCTGACGAGGGGTCCTGCAGGCCCTAAATTTTCCTGCTGATGCACAGACAAAATCACAGGGGCAATCACTGAATTTGGTGTGGGTCAGGACTCCTGCGGCGGGCGCTGCGCCGGGGGCGCACGGCAAGGGCTCAGCAGAGCTGATGCTCTGTCCTCAGGCCACTCTGAGAGGGGAGCAGGCTGACCCCGCGGTCCCTGCTCCCCTCACCACCCCAGGGAAGTGCAGTGCCGGGCAGAGGGGACCCGCAGCAGCTTTGGAGATGCACTTGCAACCAGAAGGACGGCAAGGTCACATACCCGACATGTCCTGGTTAAACAAAGCCATTTACCAACACCGTGTTGACACAGCAGAGCTCGGGACAGAGTCACAAAGGGCACTTGCACCAGGCCCCCGTAATACCCAGAGAGCTTGGGGCGAGCTGGGACCTGGCAAAGTGTCCCCTGCTTCGGCCCCTCGGCAGGAGAGCCATGGGCACTGCTGTGCCCACGGCAGGGAGACCACGCGCGTCCCACCCCGACGGACAGCTGCCCCGGGAATTGCTCCCAAAGCGACGGAGTTCGGCTGGAATCGTGGCCCGGGGCTCACCGCAGCCGCGGCAGAGCCCAGGGGTGCTGAGAGCCCGACGGCAGCGCCCCTGCCCAGGGATGCCAGCGGCAGCGGTCGCAAGGGAAGCGGGCACAGCCCTGCGGGAACCCCAGGCCCAGAAGAGCCAGGGGCTCATTTTCCCCCGGGCCGGCGCCCAGCGTCGGGGCGACTCTGGGAGCTGCTGCTCTGGGGTCCCGGGGCTCGGTTCGTGGCCCCGGGGTTGCGCAGTCGTCACTGCAATCCACGTCCCCGCGACGGGACATGCGACATCCCGAGCTCCGAGACCGCGACTCTGGGCGCTCCCTGCCCTCCTCCCTCCCCTCCCCGTACCTGTCGGGGCTGGGCTCGCGGCGGCTCCCGAACGCATCTCGGGACCGGCGGGGACCGGGTCCGGCGCGCTCGGCGAAAACTTTAGCGGAGCCGCGACGGCAGCGGCTGTGGCGACTCAGGGGGAGGGACCGGCTCGGGGGGAGGGACCGCGGGCACGGAGAAGCGTCCCGCCGCCCCGCTCCTCCCGCCGGCACGAGGGGGGGCACAGCCCGGTGCCCCAGCCCCGCCCGAGTGCTTGGCGCTGCCCCCCGCATCACCGGCGGTCGCTCCCGGGAGCTGCGGGCGCTGTCGCTTGTCCCTGCCCCGCCCCACTCCCCGGCACCGACTCGGCTCGGCGGGGCCGGGCGGAGCGGCGGGGGCAGCTAGACCGGGCCAGCCCCGAGGGAGCGGGCCGGGGGTCCGTTCCCCGGGAGGTTTCCCCGGTCCCAGCGCGCCGCCCGTTCCTGCCGTGCCCCGAGCTGGCAGCCCCGCCGCGGGAGCCGCTCGGACCCTCGGGGAGCCGGGCGGATCTCGGCCGCGCCGCCGCCGGCCGTCTCAACCCCCGCGCTCCGGCCGCCGCCGGCGGGGACGGGTCGGTGTCTGCCGCCGCTGTCCCGCTGCAGGTAAACACAGCCCAGAAACAGCGACGCACCGGGACGGGCTGGCTGGGGCGGCAGAGGGAGCCGGGGGAGCCCCGGCCGGGGGGTGCCCTGTACCGGCCTCCCGGCACGAACACATTTACCGTGGGCAGCAGCGGTACAGCCAGCAGCGCCCCGGTGGCGAGCCCAGCCCAGCTCCGGCTCCCACAGAGCTGCCTCCCTCGGGTCCCAGGCTGCGCGGCCGTCGCGGGCTGCAGCTCCCCGTGGGTGTGGGCACAGGAGCGAGGCACACGCTGGGGCCTGCGGCTGTCCTGCCATTGCCACGAGGACTGGAGCCACAGCTGCCCCCCTGGAGATGGCCCGGCACCCCTCCAGGTCAGGAGGGAGGCTTTGGGGGAGGACGGGCTGTCCCCAGTCCCACCGGCTGCGGGCAGAGGGGTGCCCCGGGGGAGCCCCTGCAGGCAGCTGCGGGGCCCTGGTAGACGGCAGGGTGGGAGCAGGGGCAGGCGGCACAGCCACAGGCTGCTGCGAGCCCCGCGCTCTCTGACGCGCAGGAGATGAGTAGTGCCCTCGCACTGCAGCTGTGGGCGCTGTGCTCGCGGCTGTGTCTGGCACATGCTGTCCTGCCTGCCAGGGTGACTGCTGCAGTTCAGCTGCCACAAGGGATATGGAGAGAGGGAATGTGCACATGGGAGCGCAGGGCTGGGACAGCTGCCGGGACCACAGCCCAGCTGTGCTGCTGACCACCATGGGGCTGAGCAGGGCTCCGTGCTGCTGGGGGGCCACGGGCCTCCATTGCTGTCCTGCTCCTTGCTGGCCCTTTGCATGGCACAGAGCAGCACCCATCAGCCCCAGGAGCAGTGATGCAGGATGTGGGGGGTGAGGAAGCACAGCCTGGCAGGGCAGCTCCCAGCTACTTGTGAGGAGAGGGCCCAGCTCCCTGAGCATTCACCTGCCCATGGCCTCTGCTGGCTGGGCATAAGCCCAGAGTGCTGATGCCAGATAGCATCATTAGGCCTTGTTAAGGTGACGAGCTTTCACTGCTCTGCTGTGCCAGTCTGCCGGAGCCCAATTAGTGTCACATCCAGGAGGCAGCTCCTGCAGGGGTGACGGGCGCCCTTGGCACAGCCCTGCCCTGGAGCTGCTGTCCAGCTGAGACTGGGCACAGCTCGGCTGTGGAGCCTGTCCCTCTGCAGCTCCCTCTAAACACAGGGCCAGGGGTGCTGGGCACAGAGTGGGGTGAGGACCCCCTTGGCATAGCGCCAGGGGCCAAGCCTTGCTACCCTCTCAGCTCTGGGGCTCAGCTCCCAGCCATGAAAAGGGGGTGCAGCATCTCTCCCCTCCTAAGAGGACAGCAGGCCCTGTGCCACCTTCACTCTTTATTATACATCAAGGTCTCAGATATTCCAGTTCTTTGATTCCTTGGGGCCAGCACACACAGAGGTGCCATAGCAGAGGGGCTGGTGCTCACAGCCTCCACACACTGGGCAGTGGGGGGTGAGGAGTGGGGGTCTGCTCAGCCCCAAGGTGAGAGAGGCTGCAGAGTGGTGGTGGGGGATGCCCCCACGCAGACCAGATGCAGTGTGGGGCAGGTGCACTGTGGTAAGCGAGTACTGGGTCCCCAAGCAGGCATTAGCAGGCCCTGTTCCCCACCATCATTGGTATGAGGCACGATCCCTGAAGAGCCCAGCAACCAGCGGTGCTGAGGAGTTTTGGCCAAGCAGAAGCAGAGGGTGGGAGGCCAGGAGCAGGGCAGGAGGTCTAAGCTGCACTGGGGTTGGGAGGAGCACGAGGGCTAAAGGCAGAGGGAGGACAGTGCCTCACACACACTGCCTCAAGCCCCAGCCCCACGGGCTCTGTGACAGAGCCAGGCATCTGATCTCCCTACTCCCTGAGACAGCACAGTCCTGCTTCTGGGGCACATCAGGGACAAGGCTGAGGGGGGGGCAAGGACACAACTCAGAGCCAGTAGAGAAGTGGGAAGACAGAACCCCCCCCACACACAAAATCCCCCAGAAGCAGTAATGCAGAGGTGGAGATGCTGAGAATGGGGGTGAGAGGAGGGGGTGAGTTTGCAATGCGGGGTTGGCCACAGGTGCTGGCAAGGCACAGGAGTAGAGTTGAGAGGAGGGGGAATGGCACTGGCCCCAGAGAGCAGAGAGGGGTTCTGGGATCTTGGGGGTGACCCACATGCTCACCCCCCTGGGGCAAGGCAGGGTCCAGTCCCCCACACTCAGGTGGTCACTTTGATCCCAAAATATTTGCGCAGCTGCTCCAGGAAGAGAAAAGTGAGAACAGTCTGAGGAACAAGCCGGACAGCAGCAGGAACGAAGCCCTGGAAGGGGACAGCAAGAAGGGAAAGAGTCAGTGTGTGCCTGCCACTGATTGTGCCAGCAGCCCCACCCTGGAAGCAGCACGAGTGGGCCGCCGTGGGTCACACGGGCTGGGCTGTGGAGCAGGCACTGTCACACCATGGCACCACGGTGCACCCAGGGTTCAGCACCATGTGCCAACCCCTCTGGCACCTGCACTGCTGTTTGGGAGCTTGACGGGTGCAACGGGGCCACAGCTGTGGTGCCTGGGCCCAGGCTGAGCCCCACTGAGGCCAGGGCTTGCAACACCTCGGGGCCAAGCCTGGGCCGGGCACACAAAGGCCTGATGCAGGAAGCAGCTGGGCTGCCACAGCAGAGCCTGGAGGGCTCCGTGCCCCAGGACTGTTCTGGACCACAACCTCTGCACCCAGCTCAGCCCAGCCTGCCCAACCCCTGCACCCCCAGCCAGCTACCTTGTAGAAGGCAAGTGGTCCGAGCTTGGCAGTTTCCATGGCACAGTGGACGACACCCTGGAGTGAGAGTGTGAGAGATGAGGTGGGAGGGGCTGGGAGGCAGGAGCTGGCACACAGAGATGGGAGGACAGGCAGCAGCAAGGTGGGCGACTCACCTGGTACTCCCCATGGGAGTTCATGAGGCGGGTCTTGAGCACATCCAGAGGCTGGCACAGGAATGTGGCACACAGGCCCTGCAGAGAGTCAGCCCAGTCAGGAGACCTCCATGCCAGCACCTGCTGTGGTCACTGGAGAGACTCGGAGCCACACTGGGACCTCAGGCCGGGAGCTTCCTGGTGCCATGTGCTGAGCCAAGCCCAGAGCAGCAGCTCTGGCAGCCCCAGCCTGGTGTTCTGACCCTGGCTGCAGGCAAACCCAGCCCCAGGGCTGCCCCCGGACCCCCGCCCTACTCACAGCGATGAAGCTGGACAGGAAGTGAGTGAAGACATTGTCTGACAGCAATCCAGTTGCGAGAACCAGCTGCTTGGCCTGGTCATAACAGGAAAGCTGCAGAGACACAGTGAATCAGCGACATGCTCCCCGTTCCTTGCCACACCAGGGACCATCCTAGTCCCTATCCCCATCACCTAGTGCCCAGCAGAGCTGTCCTACCTGTCCAACAGTAACAAGGGCCCCACGGGCCGATGCCACTGATGCTCCTGAGAAGAGTTTCTTCAGGCCCTCTGTGGACAGACAGATTTGGATCAGCACAGCTCTCTGCCTTCACTCAGACTCCATTACCCTGGGAGTCTCCTTCCATGCCCAGTCTGTGTCCTCAACTCCTCACACAGCCCTGCTTGAAGCACACCATAGCAAACAAGCTGAAGGAGTAGGGAGTCCTTCAAAACACCACGACCTCCTCTGCTCTCTTCCACCTGCTCCACCCTCCTGTGCTGTTCTGTTGCAGCTCCCAGCAGGTCACCCTTTCCCACCAAGTATGTGCAGGCTGCCAGGCCCTGCCAGACCTTGCCCAGCCCCTGCCTCAGCCAGACAATGAGGAGATGCCAAACTCTGCGCTCCCCCAGACACCCCCAGCCCCAAGGGCATCCCCCGGCCCCTCTCCCTGCCCCGGCTGAGTGAACTTCCAGGGTGCCCTAACCCGGCACCTGCTCGGACACCGGAGCAGGCTCACCCACACGGCTGGCACAGCCTCACCTTCCCGGAGGACACGGTACATGCCATCCAGGGCATGGGAATAACTGGAAGGAGCGAGAGGGGAAGGGGTCAGGGCCCGAGGCTCACCAGCACGGCGGCAGCCCCGCCGCTCCCCCGGGCACCGGCGGCTCCCGGGGCGGCTCCCGGTGCTCCCGGTGCCCCCGGTGCGGTGCTCGGGCCCGCCGCCGGTGCGGTGCTGCCCCCCCGCGGCCGCTCCCGGCCTCCCGCCCCTCTGCGCCCCGAGCCCTGGCCCCTCACTCACTTGCGCCGCTGAGCCGGCGGCTGCTTCATGTCGTTCTGCATCCTGGAAGGCAGAGCACCGCAGGTGAGGGGGCAGCCGGTACCCCACTGACCCCCGCAGCACCGGGGACCCCAGCACAGGGCAGCGGAATTGTCCTGCCCGTTTACAGAGGGCCAAGAAAGTTGCCTTCAGTCCCACTCCCCCTGAGGGTCACACACGTCTCTGGGTGCTGTCACCAAAAGGCAGAACAGCTCTGGCCATCCTGGGCACAGAGCTCCTGGCCCACTGAGCAGGGGGCAGGCTGGCCAGGAGAGATGTCAGAACCCCAGCACTAGCCAGCACTCCAAATGCCGTCATGCACGGGTCAAAAGCCCCGGCTGTGCAGACAGAACTGACCTGACGTTCACCATGTCTGCCGGGGTTCCCACAAATCCGCCAGTGGAACCTGTGGCCAAAGAAGAGTTGGGTCAGGGGCTTGCTTATCCATCCCGAGGGAGCCAGGGCCAAGGGCCCCACTGCCTGGCTCACCTCCTACTGCAGCCAAGAGCACTTTCTGGTAGAAGGGGGGAGGCCCCTGGTTGCCCAAGCGGTTCTTTGCGGTCTCATAGATGCCAAAGCGAGTCAAGGAATATGTCATCTGGATGAGGGGGAAATGAGCGGCTGTGTCCTGGCACAGGGCAGCTGGTCAGCGGCAGCAGGTGCTGCAGGAGCTCCAGCCCTCACCTGCCGGCACAGCGAGGCGCTGAGCCCGTTGTAGAGGGCCAGGAAGCCGTCAGTGCGGATCACGTGCATCGCCATCCCCGTCATCCGCATCTTCACCTCCTGCTGCGTCTGCAGGTGCACCTGGGGCAGAGTGCAGCGTGTCAGCCCACGCCGGGGTTGGGCAGGGAGACAAGGCACTGAACAGGTGTGGATCGGAGCGTGTGTCAGGTTAGCAGCACTTGCACAGGAGCCAACAGCAAGAGCTACGGACACCCCGCACCAGACTGGCCCCGCCTGGCAGGAGAGGTGGAGGCAGTGAGGCAGAGAGGAGTGGCCAGGCACCTGCAGCACCTCCCAGGCCCTGCCCTTGACAGCCGGCCCCAAGGTGAAGGGTGGCGCCTGCTCTTCTGGCCACCTCAGGGTGGAAGGTGTGCGTGTGTGCACCCAACAGGACGAGAGTGAGCAAGTGCCCTCTGTGGAGCTGCTCAAGGGGATGCAGCTGGGCTGGTGAAATCACAGCCATGCAATGCAGCAGGCCCCCGAGAGCCACTTTCCCTCCTCCTCAGTGCAGGAATCACACAGGCAGGAAGAGAACCCCACAGCTGGCCAGGCACTCCCCTTCCTGCCTGCAGCAGCCCAAGGCTTCCCACCATCACCAGGGGCAACGGCAGCAGGCACAGAAGCTGGCTGGGACAGAGGAGCTGTGTGGGCTGATGCTGGAGCATGCTCTGAGCACTGCGGAGGCCACATGTGGGTCAAAGGGCCCTAGGAGATAAGGAGAGCAAAGGGCTGCTGACAGGGGATCAGGCCACTACAGAAGCTGTGGCACAGCTGGGTCGTGTGACACTCTGCAGGATGTTGGGAACAGCCAGTGTCTCCCATATGGGGCAGCAGCAAGGGTACAGGGGCCTGCTTGCAATCCCCACAGGTGGATTTTGGACAGCAGGGACCAGAGCCTGTGGCTGTTCACAGGCTGGGGCAGCTGAAGAGGGCAGGAAGGGCAGAGTTATGTAGGGACATGGTCCACTGCCTGCAGTACCAGGTCTGCAGGAAGGGCAGGCAGCCATGGGACGGGCTGGCCAGGCTGTGGTCACTGCTGGTTGCTGCAGGGCCAGCAGCCCATGGGTAGACAGCAGCTGCACAGAGTGGGCCTAAGGGCACAAGCACTCTGCAGGTGGGCTGGCCAGGGCCTCTCACTGGGACCAAAGTCCAGAGGTACAATGAAGTGCCCTTCGTCCCCTCCCCTGCCAGAGCCTGACGCCCCTTGTGCCTCCCCAGGCCTGGCACCAGCCTCTGCTGCGGGGGAACACATGGCCAAAGGCAGGTCTGTATTCAATAATCAGAATGATTATTGATCTGGCAAAAACAGCTGGCTAGGTTGTGCTGCTCACACCTACAGGAATGCAGGGACTGCTCATCCACACAGGACAGCATGGGGATGCAGCCCAAGCATCTCAGCCATCACGCTGGCTCAGAGACAGACCTAGAGGCAGGTGCCAGACTAATTCCCTTTCTTAGCGCCTTGCCAGGCACCCCACACAAGCTCCCACGGGCTGGCAGCCACCTCCACTGGGCAGACAGGGCCAGCTGGGCAAGGCAACAGGCCGAGCACTGGGGAGGTGGCAATGCCCTGCCAGGGCTGGCTCCTCTGCTGGGCCTGTGCCTGGGACATCTTCCTCTCTCCGTGGGGTGGGAAGGGGCTGTGTGTCCCAGCCTCACCCACAGGCACGGCCCTGGGAAGGACAAGCCCTGTCCTGGGCTGCCTCTTCCCTCCCCCTCCGCAGCCTGCTCCGCTGCCAGGCTCGTCGCCACTTGGCTGGCGCACAAGGCTCTGGGCAGCGCTGGCATTTGCCCCATCCGTGGGTGCTGGCAGCACAGGGCTGCGCGCGGCGCCCTTTGTGCAGGAGCAGGCATGCCAGGTCATCTGCGGCGCCTAGGTGACATCTTGGCCGGAGGGCTCAGAGCCCAGTGGGCCAGTGTCCAACACTGCCGGCCCCAGAGTCACTGCCTTATCCAGGCAGGCCTGCCCAAGGCACCCTCCACAGCTCCTAGAGCTGGCACCCGAGCTCTCTGGACCCCTCAGCCACACATCTACCCATGCCCCTGTGCAGGGTCTTTGTGACCCCTCAGCCATGCCCCCGCATAGCCACGAATCGGCTCCTCAGAACTGACCCCCAGCAGCTGTTTCCTCAGTCCTCTACAGCTGTTCTCCAGCTCCCTCCGTTGCTCTGGGACCCTCACAGCCATTCCCTATCCCATCACAACCACTCCAGAACCCTCAGGCCTGCTTCCCAGAACCCCAGAGCAGCTCCCCATCCCCTCAAAGTTGCTCCAGGACCCTCACAGCCCTCTCCCCTCCTCTGGCAGCCGTTCCCCAGTACCTCAGAGCCAGTCCTTCAGCTGCTCTGGGATCCTCAGAGCAGCTCCTCATCCTCTCACAGTCACTCCAGGACTCTCACAGCCACTCCGAGTCCCGTCCCCCTAGCAAAAGCCATTCCCCATTCCCCATCCCCCCAGAGCTCCTCTGGGACCCTCACAGCCGCACCCCCACAGCCAGGTCCCGCAGCCGCTCCGGGACCCTCAGAGCCGCTCCCCGTCCCGCCCCGGCCGCTCCTCCCGCTGCAGCCCCGTCCCCCTCGGCCGGTCCCGCAGCCGCTCCGGGACCCTCGGAGTGCCTCCCCATCCCTTTACAGCCACTTCCAGTCCCCCAGAGCCACTCCAGGACCCTCGGACCTACTCCCCGCTCATCGCAGACTCTCCAGAACCCCTACAGCCAGTCCCAGCACCCCCAACCTCCTCCCCATCCCCTCACACCCCGTCCGGGACCCTCACAACAGACACCTGCCCCCACAACCGCCCCCCAGCACTACCTGCCCCCACAACCGCCCCCCAAGCCCTCACCGCCACCGGCCCCCGTAACCGTCCGCTCACACCCACCGGCCCCCGTAACCGCCTCCCCATCCCCTCACGGCACCGCAATCACTCCCAGCTTCTCACAGTCCCCCTCCATCCCCCGGGACGGCCGCCCCACGCCCCAGGGCCGCCCCTCGGCGTGTCCCCGCTTCACCTTCAGCAGATCCAAGGGGTGCGTGCAGCAGGCGGCCCCGGACGACGCGAGGCCGCCGAAGTACCAGCGCGAAACGCGCTGCTCCGCCATGGGCGCCGCTTCTGCCACAAACCACGCCCTCACCGGGGCACGGCCACGCCCCCTCCCGTTAAGCCACGCCCCCTCCCGGTACCGGAAGGGGGTGGGGCCGGCCCGGGGCTCGCATCTCCGAGCCTGCGGCCAGCGCGGCAAGCACGGCCTCCGGAACCCCCGCTCCTACCCTACACACATCCCCATTTCCAGCCCGCGGCAGGCTCTTCCCGTTAATAATAAAGGGATTCATTCATGGGAGGTGAAGCCATCAGCCGAAGACAGAGGGAAGCGGTGCGGGAGCACAGGTACACACGGCAGCGCTACCAGCGTGCACGCACTGAGCGCAGGGACAATCGCAGCTCCAGAACACACCTTCCCACCCCGCACGCCTCTCCACAACCTGTGGAAGTGTGTTCTTCTCGTTAATAACTAAAAGAGGTGAGACATCAGCAAAAGGCAGAGTAAGGAGGTGGGTGATGCGCTGGTACAAACATCCAGTAACTGAAGGGAGCCTACAAGAAAGATGGAGAGAGACTTTTTACAAGAGCGTGTAGTGACAGGACAAGGGGAAACTGCTTCAAACTCAGAATTGGTTTAGATTAAACATTAGGAAGAAATTTTTGTCTGTGAGGGCGGTGAGGCCCTGGCACAGGCTGCCGTGAAGAGAAGCTGTGACTGCCCATCCCTGGGAGTGTTCAAGGCCAGGCTGCACGGGGCTTGGAGCAACCTCGCCTGGGGGAAGGAGCTCCTGCCCATAGCAAGGGGCTGGAACGAAATGATCTTTCAAGGTCACTTCCACCCTAAACCACTCTGATTCCATGAAACGGGGAGCACGGGGATAATCGGCACTTGAGAAAGATGAATCATTTTACAGGTTTTTTTGGGTATTTATAAGTAGAGTTCATGGTGATGGCAGGAGGTAGCAGCTCTGCCAAACCATACAGCATTCTTTGGGAGAGTGCTCCCACTGTGCCACGTGCACTCGGAAAGGTCCGGAGCCCGCCTGGGCAGCAGCTGCAGCACCAGTCTCCCCGTGGTGACACTACTCCAGAACAACAGTCCCTCCTGCTGCCTCTAGCGCTGCTTTGATCTTCTCTGCTTCCTCCTTGGAGGCGTTCGCCTTGATCTCCTGCGGAAGGGACTCCACCAGCTTCTTTGCCTGTGAGAGGGACAAAGTACAGGGCTTGTAAACAGGCTTTCACTAACTGGATTATTGGATTTAGAGCCATGATCCTGACCTCTGCTTAAGCCAACTGTGGAAACTCACTGACCAGCACAAACCCCGAGACTTGCACTTGGAAGTACAGCACGTCCCACCAGAAGGCAGCTAACCCTGAGCACAAGCAAGGACACATCTGCTGGGAAACCTCCTCCTTAAGTTCTCCCACCAGGTCCTGGTGCTGGGCTGGCTCTGCTCACTGACGATGTTTTGGTTCACATACTTGTGCCAGCAGGGGGGGACGCCAGTGCAGAGTGTGGACACAGCTGCACTGCCTAAAACAGAGCTCCAGCACAGACTACTTGACAACACAGTATTTTGACATTTTAGGGACTTTTAAAGCAAAACTACTGGTACTAAACAGCATTGCAATGCTTAAGACAAGCTGAAAAACTGTTTGGCTAATTTAAAGAATTTACTGCAGTGCTGCTATTGAGAAGGAAGTGAGCCCAGGAGGACAAGCCTCTGTTGCTCTCACATGCAGCAGTTCTCTGCCCCAGCACTGGGGGGGTTTAGCACCCAGCGGACTGGCAGAAAGGTTTTGTCCTTTTGATTCCTGCTGGGTTCAATGCCTATGTATCTGTGGTGGAAGAAAAACGCTTTTTTTGCTGGGGTTGGAAGGCACAGATGTGTGAGCAGTGGGGCAGGAATGCCTTTGCTCACCAGGACAGGATTTGGACTGCACTGAGCACAGGCAATACAACACAGGTTATTAATTTCTGAACTCTGCTCAGGAAGGTGTGACTCCATCCTAAAGCAGCCCTGGTCAAGGGAAGCAGCTGTTTCTGGTGTTCAGTGGGAAGAAGAGCAGAGCCAAGCCAGGTGGGACCCATGCAGCAGCAGCAATGGGGCAGAGGCAGCAGGCTCCCAGTCCAGCTACAGCCCAGGGCTGGTGGTGACAGGGTAAGCATCTGCTGGGCAGCTCCCCATGAGCTTCCTGAGGTGCAGCCAGCCTTGGTGCTCTGTGTGCACCTGTCTCATCACACAGCTCCTGCCACAGCACTGATGTTTGGGTGCCACCTGTCCCCAAGGTAATAACTGTATGTGCATCCCTCTACGCCACCAGCAGCCCTACAGGCCATGGGCAGATCCACCTGCAAACCTCGTAAAAACATCCTTACTGGATGGCAGTAAAATTTACAATAAAAGGGCTTTGGCTCCACCTTGAACAGAGTCTCTGCAGGTAGAACCTCCACAGCTGTTTGTGTTGTGTGTTTGTGCTTCACCCGACATGCCAGGCCTGGGTACATCCCACCTGAGTTTAGCTGCAGTAACTGGCACTGCAAACAGCTCATCCAGCAGGTGCCACATGCAAAGCCAAGCTCACTTAGCATCAGCTCTCCAGTTAATTATCTGCTGATCAGGTCCCTCACAGAGTTTGGTATTTTCATGTTTGCTCGGGACCAATAATAGATGAACAACTTCCAGAGGAACCACACTGACAGTCAGGAAATTATCCCCACGAGACAGCCAAACTTGTACCTGTGCCACTGACTTCTCTACTGGCTTTGCAATGCAGCCATGAGAATTGGGGGGCAGAAGATTATCTGCAAACGCTTCTGCTCTCCTGGGCTACAGCAGGAGCAGACATTGCAATGCTCAACACTGCAGCTGGAATACTGGGAAGTGCTACTTTTGACCCCAAGATATGAAAGCATCACCCTGGAGATGTGCAGCACATTACATGCTTCAGCAGTAGCAGCTTCATCACCCAGCATGCTGAGCCCACATCCAAGGTCAAGGGCCTGAGCTCAGACACTGCCCAGGGCTGAGGCCTGTCTCCTCCAAGGAAAGAAGCAGCACCACCTATAAAATGAAGGGCCCTGAAAACAGCTGGAAGCTTGGATTGCAAGATGTGCGAGTTACAGAGACTCATTTAACTTCAGAAATACATTTGCTTTGGGAAAGGCAAGCCAAACAGAGCAGCAGCAAGGGATGCTGGCTACTCCTCAGCTCTGCAAGAAAGCTCATGCACAGCAGCTCTCGGGTTTAGAGAAGTTGAGGCTGGCACGGACATCTCTGAGCCTCCTCCTTCATCCCCCTGCTTCTGACAATGGAAAATGCCAGATGAAGGTGCAACCAAATCCTGCTCCCCACGTCTCTGCACTGAGAAGCACACAGGCAGGCTGTGCTTCTGAATGCATAAATCCAGGCTCCCCTTTAAACAGAGAGCTGAGGCTGCTGGAGCTGGGGCAAAACACCAGAGCCTGGCGCAGCAGCTCCTCACCTGCACGAGGTTCACTCCAGGCACGAAGTTCTTCACCTCCTTGATCAGCTTCACCTTGTCAGCAGCCTTCAGCTCCGTCAGCCGCACGGTGAAATGAGTTTTCTCCTTCTTGAGCGGGACCACCTCCTCCTCCTCCTGGAAGCAGCCGGAGCGCGGTGAAGCCCCGTGGCCGAGCCCGCCCCCGCGGCCCCCGCGGCCCCGCTCCCGCCCCTCCCGGTACCTGCGGAGCCGCCTGGGCGGGCAGCAGGGAGGCGGCGGCCGCCGCGGGCATCACCCCCACGTCCGGGATCTTCAGCGTCTCCTGCGGGAAGAGCAGCGGCACCGGCGGCCGGTCAGGCGGCGCACGCGGCCGGGCCGGGTCAGGCCGGGGTGAGCCGGGCCGAGCCGGGCCGAGCCAGGCCCCGCACCCACCTTGAGCAGCGCGTTGAGATCGGCCACCTCCAGCAGCGTCAGCCCCGCGATGTCCCGCACCAGCTGCCGCACCTTGGGCGAGTACTCCTTGGCGGCCGTGTCCAGCGGCGCCCCGGCCAGCGCCTCCGAGCGCCGCGCGGGGCCGGTGCCGAGCGCCCGCAGCCCGGCGGCGGCGGGCAGCATGGCGGCCCGAGGACACCGAGACTCCGCTCCGCCCGCGCTCCCGGCGCGCCCCGCGCCGGCCCCGGCCCCGGCGGACAGCCAACGGCGACACCGCGGCAGCGCAGCGGTGCGCCATGGGAGATGTAGGCCACACCGGGCCGACCGGAAAGCGAAATCAATCGTGGTAAATCTATTTATCGTTTCTAAACAGGAGTAGAAAAAATTTAATGTCTGAAGGAACAGAAATTGCTTCCTCTCTGGAATGTTTGGAAGGAGAACTGGTTATATTTCTACACTACATAGCATGGTTAACAGTAAAATTGAAGCATAATGAAGGCAAATTAAAAGAAACAAAAATAAAGTCTGAAAGCCTTGTCATTTTACCTTTTTGACTTTCACTAACTGCAGTAATACATTCTAATGCTGCATAAAGCTTAATAATTTAGGACTATGCATCTACAGCATAGAAACATTCTAGACACTGTAAGAAGGGAATTTACGTGGCCAAAGCTCAATCTGAGCTGAAGCTGGCCCTACTGCGGCTGGAGTGTGCCGGGATCTGCCCCCGCAGCCGCTGCCACCCCTGGCAAACACCTGCCCCGTTCGCGGGGGATGCCCAGCCCAGCACAGGAGCCCGCAGTTTGTTCCAACACTTTATTGTCACCGATAGCGCTCGGTCTCCGCCGGGACAGGGACAGGCCTGGTCAGCGAAGCGCCGGAGCCGCGAGGGCGCTGCAGGGAGCAGGGCACAGCAGGGATGGGGCACAGCTGGCACCGGGACCGGGCAGGAGCGCTGCGCCCTCGGGGCCCCTTGCCACGAGCCCCGGGACAACGACAGGGGCAGGCCGAGCTCCCGCCCGGCCCCGGGGCCGCCAGCTGCCGGGGTGAGTGGGTAGGTGGGTGAGCCGGGGCTGCTGCCCCGAGCTACAGGGCGTGGGGGGCTGCACCCCTGCCCCTTGGTCCCCAAAGCTGGCAGTAGGAGCCTCTGGCCCCACCGCCCCTGGGGCACAGAGCCGGGGGGCAGGACGAGTAGTCGAAGTACAGAGTGATTTCGGATGAAGAGTAGTGTTACACTGGAGCCCTGTGCCCGCCCGCGATCAGTCAAACGAGATGAGCTGGGCCTCCCCGCTGCCCGGGGGCTGCTGCCCAGGGGCAGGCGCTGCTGGGGGCTGCTGCTGGGGGGGCCCCCCAGCTGGGGCCACCTGCAGTAGAGGAAACAGCTTTGTTAGTGTGTGGCTTCGTTAGCATACGAGCCCCACTGGGTCCTGAGCCCCTGGGCTGGTGGCACTCACCTGTTGGTAGAGGGGCTGCTGCCCGGGCAGGTAGGACTGCTGGGCTGGCAGGCTGCTCAGAGCTGTGTCCTGGCCTGGCAGGGCAGACATAAGACCCTATGGGAACGAGGGGGTGGGCGTCAGAGGGGCTGGGGTACATGCAGCACCCACAGGGCACTGGTGGGTGACTGCCTCCATGGGCTGAGCCCAGCCATGCCTTGTGCCCCTACACCCACACTGGAGTGCTCACCTGCATGCTGTAGGGCTGGTAGCCCATGGAGACAGACTGGCTGCCCATGTAGCCCATGGTGCCTGACTGGGGTGCCTGGGAGATGGCTGGGATGCTCTGTGACTGTGAGGCTGCAGTCTGTGGGGAGAGGCTGGTCAGAGGTGGCACAGACAGCAATGGCTCACTTCTCCAGACAAGGCCCTTGAGCCCAGAACTAGATCTAACTCCAGCCCACTTCCACAGTCAGCACAGCAGACCTGGAACCAACCAGTCCATCCTCTGTCCTGCTCAGAGATCTCATTGTTGAGTTTAGGTACGTTGCCTAGCCCCACAGAACGCCCCAGCCCTTGTCCCAGTTGGCTGCAGGCTGCACTGCCTCACTTGCCTGGTAGCCCTGTGTGGGTGTGGGCTGGTAGGATGAATATGCAGGGGTGGTGGTGGGCACTGCCGGCCCCTGCTGAGGCCCCTGCCCACTGCTGGCGCCCGGCTGGTACATGTAGGCATTCACCATGCTGGGATCTGGGTGCAGAGAGCAGAGGTTGGAGCAACTGCCTTGGGCTCTCCCCTACCCCCAGAAGCTGAGCTGCTGACGTACCAGTGCCAGGCATGGCAGCGTAGGGCCCAGCTCCCCCTTGTGCAGCCTGGTTCATGTACACGCTGTGCATGGGAGAGCCCTCCACAGAGCCAGCTGGGCTGAAGGTGCCAGGAAAGCTGGTGGGCCCAGAGGGCTGGTAGATCACCCCACTGGCTGCAGGCATGGCCTGGAGCTGGTGGGAGAAGGAAAGCCAGCTTAAAGCCGCAGTCCCTGGAACGTGGCAGAGGGAGCCTACCCCAGCAGCTGTACCTGAGCGTAAGGCAGTGAGAAAGCTGGCATCTGGGCTCTCATCTGGATGGTCTGCTTCTGCTGCTCCAGGCGCAGCTGCCTCTCCTTCTCCTGCTCCTGTAGTCGCTGGATGGCCAGCTGACGCTGCATCTCCAGGTACTCCTGTGGCAACAGGGCTGTGGTGGCTGGGAGCCACCACACCACACAGCCCCTCCTACCAGGGCAGCCAGCCCCGAGCTCGGCCTGCAGTACCCCGGACATGCTTCCCTGCCTCACCTGCTTCTTCTGCCTCATGATCTCCAGCTTCTGTGCCAGCTGGATCTGGCGCTGCCGCTCTGCCTCCTCTGCGGCACGGCGCAGCTTCTCCTGGTGCTCCTCCCGCAGCGCGTTCAGAGCCCCACGCGCGTCCCGGATCTGGGCCAGTTTGTCCTGCAGGCCCTCATAGTACACTGGGGAGGGAAGGGACAGCCTCAGGAACACGGGGACAGAGCACTGGGACTGCACAGCAGCTTCTCTCCAGTGAGACTGCGCCACGGGAATGCTGAGTCCTGGCAGTGTGGAAGCCCCGGCTGCCGCCCACCCACGCCCAGGGCCAGCAGCTCCCCCGGCTCCCACGCACGCCTGCGCTCATCCAGCTGGTTCAGCAGCTCCAGCAGCTGTGGGTGCATGTTGTTGATGGACTGGAAGAGGGACAACACGGCAGAGTCGTTGGTGATGCTGCGGCCTCGCATGTGGTTGCTCTTCATGCGGTTGACGAAGGTGGTGACCGCGTTCTGCAGTGCCTTCAGGAACTGCTCATGGTTCTCCTCGGACTCACCATTTTGGTACTGCTGCTGGAAGAAAGGATGGGGCAGCCAGTCAGCTGTGACCTCCCAGTGCAAGAGCCAGCAGCTGGCCTGCAGAGCCCAAGAGTCAGGTGCTTCTTGCCCCTCAGTGGGTGCCAGACCCAGGCCCAGGCCCCCTCTTACCTCAACCACTCCAAGAGGGGCAGGGTGGGCTTCCCCAGGCTGCACAGCTGGCTCTGTCAGGGACAGGGGTGCTGACGGTGTGGGGCTCTTGCGAACCTCCTCCTGTTTCTTCTCCCAGTAGTTGCGGTTCAGGTACCGAGCCAGCTGCCAGGAAGACAAGGAAGATGAGCATCGCTGCCTCGCAGGAGCAAGTCTGTGCTGCAGACTAGCAGGGCCAGGATTCTTACCTCTGGGTCAATGTCCTCGGCCAAGGGAGCAGAGGAATTCTGGAAAGAGACAAATGGAGAAATGCAGTTCAGCAAAACCAGAGATCCCCAGGTCCCACACAGGTATTCAGCTTGGAGCTGGCCACATATGACCACCAGTGCTGAGCCTCAAAGGGGACACAAGCTGGGAGGCAGTGGAGGCACCCAAGTCCTGGCTGAGAACACACCTTCTTGCGCAGAACACAGTGAACGAGCAAGGGGTTGAATGGAGCAAACGTTTTCCCTCAGTATGGGGATTAAATTGGACACAATCAGGGCAGGAAGTGGCCTGTGGCCAGCCACTTCACGTGCCATGGACATACCACAGGTGGGGAGTAGAGTGTGCTGACTGGGGGAGCCGAGGATGTGACAGGAGTGGGCTCAGCCTTAGGGTACATGGAGTAGGTTGTTTTCTGCCTCTGCAAAAGAGAAAATTGCCAACTCAGAGAGAGTTCAGGCTTCTCCAAACCAACCCAAACACAGTCTGTGCCTGGCTCTGCTTTCACCCTCTCATTCCACAGGCTTTCAGCCTTGCTCACACCAGGACACATCCAGAGATCTGTTATGGCTCAGCACAGCTGAGCTGAAGAGCAACAATCCCTCCCGGACCGCAGCAGTGAACAAACCATTCTCTCCTTCTCCTCAGCCTCTGACTGAGACAAGGCAATAGCCAGCTGGAGCTCCTCTTCCTCTTGCAGAGCTGTCTCATCACGCTTTGGAGGAAGCTAGAAGTGGAAACATAAGGAGGTGGTCAGTAATGGCATCAAGAAATGCATCAGGAACACCAGATCATCTGTGGGGCAGCTGCTCACCTGGGACTGCTGAGAAAGGGGGCTGGTCAGGTACTCAGGGGGCAGTTCAGAGGTGGCAGCAGCTTTACCCTCAGTTTTCCTGTAGTGACAAGTGATAGTATGGACTGAATGCTCCCCTCTCTGCACCAGAGCCCAGCTCTGCACCATGTTCCAGCAGCAAACCCCACTCCCAGGAAGGAAGAGGGCCCAGCCCAGCCTGGGAAGCCCCTGTTGTGCACTGCAGGGAGCTAGCTCCACACCATGCTTCCCCCCTCAAAGTCCCAGATGTCACAGGCAAAGAAACCCACAACGAAGAGTACTGACTTGTTGAGATGCTCATAGCAGGGCTCACAGACTCTCACTTCCTTCTCAATCCCAAACTTGGGGATGGTGGAATACTTGGAGGAGCATTTTCCACAGAAGATCTGCCCACAAGCTCGGCAGTGGTGCTGTGAAGGACAGGAGACGTGAGTGTGGCGGCAAGACATTCCTTCTCCTTTAGCCAACATCAATCAGACACTCATTTCCCTGCCAGCAGCCAGGAAACATGGTCTGTCCCAGCACACTTCACACAGCAAGTCCTGCAAGTCCCAAGGGCTGTGCAGAGCAAGGAGCCCAGGAGCAGCACCCACCTTGCGCGTCACAACACCAAACTGCACTCGGCACCTGTGACACTCCTCTGCATCCACCCAGTCTGGAGCCTGTAGGGGTCAAGGGAAATGGAGTAAGGAGGGAGGAGTGTGTTGGCACTGGACCTTTCAGGAGCTCTGATGGCTAACAGGGCTCTCATGTCTTGTGGGGGAGACTGGGGGCATCTGCAGCTCAATGGGAAATATTAATCCCCAGTAATCTCCTCTCATGTTCCTTTGAGACTGTGATGTTTTTCCAGTCAGTACAAGATTTACTAGGAAACTGTCTGCACAGCAATCACTTCAGCCATG